TTTTGTTTTGTTTTGTTTAAACATCCCTTCAGGGCAACAGTTCTGGAAAAACACCACCATTCTGCCACCCTCCCATGCTCCTCCCAGGGTGATCAAAGCCAGGAGAGCAGAACACACAACTCCGACGGGACGTGAAATGCGGGTGATCACGCCGTGAACCCTTGTGTCTTCCTGACAGATCCGCTGCCCGTTCCACGCGTCAGGCTCTATACGTCTGCTGTCACCACGGGGTTTCACCACGGATTTTTATTTCCTTAGCACCTGAATGGCGGCTTTAGAAATCAAATTACAGTCAGAGTGCTACGGGCTGCAGCCCCCTGACTGGGCCACTAAATCAGACTAATTGAAACAACAAATACGCCCCAACAGCAGTTCCTTAGGAAAATGTCGCCCTTAAAACACACCGCTTTTTACTTCTAACAGAACTTGGCTGGGCTTATTGACTGCTCGGTATTTCTGCTGCTGCATTTGAAGTTTATTGATTCTAAGAAATATGAAATGAGTTTCAAAGGGATCAGAATGTGACACGGTGTCCAAGTGAGACACAGAGACATTCAGAGATACTAAACGGAGCTGGGGGAGCTGCAGGAAACTAAAGGTTGCCAGTTCATACCCATGGAGATCTGTGGGGTTTGAAAATCACTGGCCATTGAGCAGCCTGGCCCCAAAACAGGTGAAGCCAGTGAGCAGGTACCACCACACTGTAAATGCTGCCCAGGCTGTCGCTCCACCTACTCTCCCTCCACTAATACAAATTTTTTTGGGGGGAGGGAATGCTCTTAGAAGGACCAAAGGTTGAAATGGCATCTCCTCCTCCAGTGTAGTGGGAGCTACGTGCTGGATGGAGAAGAAAATACTCTTATGCTATACAGGCAGTGGACATTCCAGGTAAAAGCAAGATGCCTTCACTTTCCCAAAGGAATTCAGGAAAAAAGGATCACTACCGAGAACTGGAGAGATGTTTGGAACAAATTTACATTGCTAAAAATAGGGAATCAGTAGAGAAAGAGGCTAAGGCTATCAGAAGTCCCCTTCATTTCTGGGAGTACAGAAGTGTATGTATTCAACAAGAAATCCATTTCACAAGAAGACTCTCATTTCATGTTGAAAAACCTACTGTGAGGGCTGAGAAGAAATTGAGGTTTATGTCTACATCTTCTGGAATGAACATTTACATTCTATGAAGAAAAGAAATGGCATTTTTCGGATGTGAGCCCTCTGAGGCAGGTAACAAAAAAGATATATTTGGCAGAGGAAGAAAAGCTTTCTCACAAATCTCTGTTTTTTCCCAGCCCCAAATGGCTGCAATCTGCCTCTAAAACCCTCTTTCAGGCTGATGCTTGCTTCAGGATCTGATAGTTTTGTCTAAACCACCCTCTCAAACGGGGGCCCAGCTGTTCCCCCCCGAGCTCTATCCCGCTCACCGGGTATCAGGCAGCACTCGGCTGCTCCTGGGGCTGCTATTGCAGGGTCTGCCCTGGGACACGACTTCTCACGCTGCCAGGTCATTCTAGGAAGTCCTACTTTTGGAGAAGGCAGCGTAGGGGAAGACAAGGAATAGTGTTACTGACATACTCTTCACGTTTACTGCTGCTCCTGCTGCTAACGTGTGTTTTTACTAAAGAGCAGGGCTCATGTATTATGCTCCGCTTAGAAAGAAGGCTGTAAAAAAGCAGCAGTGAAATACATCAGGAAGCAAAACCTCACATAACACACCTATTCTCTTTTTCTCTCTCTCTTTTTTTTTTTTTTTTAAGTATTGCACCCGATTTCTGGCAAATGCAGCCGTCCATGGGGTAGGGTGCCCCCAGAAGACACACGCTGTGCACAGGCTCCTGCTGCAGGAAGCGAGAACTCGGCGCTGAGCAAATACCTCACTGGGAGCAGCTGCCAAACCAGGAGGATGAAGTTGGTCCCAGTCCTGGCTACAGCCAGACACACACCAAAGGTTTTACTCATTTCCAATCGACGCAGGGGAACGATGCCTACCATGCTAGAAGCGACCGATGTAAGAAATCTTGCACTTCACCTAGAAATGACAGATAGGATGTACACAAAGAAGGACCAGGCACAGAAAACTCTGTGATCCTCCAGCCTGAATAGCTTATTTGCAGTGTTGAAAGGCTAATTGAACTCAGATGAGAGATCAGATCCTGACTGGGTTTTGGAACAAAAACCACTCAAAAGCAGCTTTTTTTCCCTCACAATTAACACGGGCATCAATGAGCCCAGTGCTGGGTCTGTTGCACCTCAGCAGCTGATTTGGAGACCACCTTTCAGACCGCGGGGATGAGGCCAGGGAACCAACGTGTTACAACAGCACTGGGAAGTCACCGTGTCTGCACTAAAGCTGACGGAGAGAAGAGAGATCCAACAACCCAAAAGTCTACAACAGAAGGGAGTCGGGTAGAGATCTCTAGTGTTCAGAAACGGCCTGCAAAATACCCACGTGATGGAACAGAGCAGTGAGGAGAGCAACAGAGAGCAGTCCCAGCGTGGGGAACAGCCTGGGGACCTCCAGTGATGGCACCAAGACGGTACGAATGCCAACCCAGCCATCGGGGTGGACAAAACCCCGTTCATGGGCCCGGGTCAGGGGGGTGACAGTGTAGCTGAGGGTAAGCAAACCACAGCCTGAAAGATAAATGGGTATTAATTAATTATAAGTTGTGCAGCAACTTATGTAGTACTAGGAACTCAATTAGCGCCCCCAAAAAAGCGACAAGCAGACTCTTGAAATCGGGCAGTGAGTGAAACTGCTCCAAGTCAGCACTTACAGTGGGGAATCATCTCTCTGACTGAAGGGATCCGCTGTTAAATGTACAGGGGAACAACAGAGAGTAAAGGAGATGGTCTGAAAACTTAGCAGTGCACAGAGTTGTGCTGAAAAGCCTTGTTGGCAGCAGCAGACCTTCAGCAGGGTACCTGAACAAGGGAGCGAGGAGTTAAAAAGCAATCGGGAAGCCTGAACAGAGCACACCCATCGTAAAGCTCATCTCCTCTGTGGGATTTTTAGGTGGAGTATCGTGGGCACAGAGGAAGGGGTGAGAAGGCTCATGGCTCTGTGAAAGATAGGAGGAAATGCAGAACTGACAGCAAGTGGACACTCACGGGTCACCAGAGAGAGGGGAAAAATGCAACCCTTTGTGATCACAGCTAAGCACAAATAAATACGTAGGAAAAGAACGTTTTCTGTTTCCTGCAAGGAGTAAAGTTTGGGGGGGAAATGGCCTTGCCAAATATTTTTCTCTGCTGGAGGCATCAGCAGGGTTCTGACAGGCACGTTAGGAAAACAGACCATACGTTGTGCATATTCAACAGCCCCTATGGGAGACATAATTTTCTCAGGCTGCCGTTGGGGTTGTGTTTGGCACTTGAACTGTTCCACAGGCTTTGATAGCCCAGGATCTGTGTAGATGATGTTTTGTTCTGCAGGAAAAGAGGAGAAGCACATGACCAGAAGCTCTGATCAGCTTTTGAAAGACCCAGACCAGCAGAGCTCAACCAACAAAACTCCTTTGTAATGGAAATGCCATACCTAGGCATGAAATTAGAAAAGCAATGTGTACAAGCAGATTACAATAAGATTGAAGTCATCCCCGGTATTCCTGCCCCAGCAGAAAAGGATGCAAAGTTAAGATACCTTTGAGCAGTGAACTGTCTACCCAATTTAGCTGCCCGAGCAATCAATGACGGATCTTTATGTGCCAGGGCGTTCAGGAGACCTGACATACAGATCTTCTCAGGGAAACTGAAAGGAGCTAATGAATAGCCCCAGATAAAGGGAATTAAGTGCAAAACTGGACACAGATCTTTACAGACCGGTGCTGACAGAGCCGAACGCTCTCCTTGCACTCTCACTAGCGCTTATGGCCCGAGTGAGGCATAAAGATTAATGCTTATACAAAAAGCATGTGCTTCCTACTTTTTGTAGAGCGTTTGTAGGCTGCCTACTGACTGTGTCATCTGGTTTCAATTAGAGATAGTATTAGTCTTTACTTACAGTCCTAGCTGGGTGTCGTTTTGCTCCAGACAATTCAAGCTACTCTCCCCTGCCCCATTCCAGAGGAGACTGAAGTTGACACCTTTCTCTTCTTACCTCTGTGATTGCCAGGAAGTTAATTAATAATAAGTCAGGCTCTGTTTACACTCCAAATTGACCGGCTCTGTTCGTGTCAGCGGGGCTGCCCTGTTTGCAATGCAGTCTGAAACCCTCCGGTGCCCCAGAACTCCAGCGAGGCAATGACTGTTATTCTGAGTGAGCACACAAATCACTGGGCAGGCAGGAGATGCTGAAAAGCCATGCAAATTCTCTTTGTTCCCAGGAGGCTCAGCGTAAGTGGCCTCACAGGAGCTTAAGGAGGCGTTCCAAGGCTATCCTTGACCGTGGGATGCTTCCTGGGGCATCACAAATGCCAAGGAAACTTCTTTTTTTTTAACTGTTTTGCTGAGTACCACTGCTGTGGTGGCCAAAGGGGACACCAAAGGGTAGAGCCTGTGCCATGAAGGTCAGCACTTCAGCAAGCTGAATACACTAAGCAGCCCCACAGAGTCAAGGTGCACAGGCCAGGTCACTGTGTAGGTAAGGGGTCTTTGAAGATGTCTACGCCAAGACAACACCTAGAGGGGCAGCATCTTCCCGTTTGACGCCACTCACTTTCTTAATTAAGCCTCTGTAATCATAGAATCACAGAATTATCATCATACAGCAATAGGAAAAAGCTGGCTCCCTTTGGAGAAGTATCACTGTTGCATAGAAGTGGATAATGTCTATTTTCCACCAAGGCCTATCTAACAGCAGGAAGGGCCCCCGACCCTCACTCTGTCCCCACAAGAAGCTAAGGGCAACATCCTAGGGATCATTTGGCCTTCTCTAGGAAAGGTAAAAAGACATGAATTTACTTTGAGGACTGGACTGCACACGTAGTAGTGTTGCACAGGGGATCTACCACCACAGACAGGCAGGCCAGTGGAAGCAGCTCCTGCCCTCCTCCACCACATCAGTTCATTTTGACCCAAATATTCTAGGGTGACATCCCAGATGCAGTCTGGCCAGCAGGTCATCATCGGAAAAGGTGCCTCCCATGTGCCTTTGAGAAGGCACGGGAGGAAATTAAACACTGACAATGAAGAGTCTGCGGTGCACGGGCAGTTTCTGCAGCAAGGAAAGCTGAGAGCGGGTTTTTCTGGATTATAACTTTGGAATAAGGTGCCTAAACTCTGCGCAAATTTATCTTCAGATTTCTGCTTGGGTCTAGCCTTACATCTGCCTTCATTCCTGTGGAGAACAGCAATACTTCCATGGTGTTTCACAGTGACACCGTTAAACTCAGTAATCCCTCTTCAAGACCTAAGGGTGGAAGGTCCTGGACAAAAAAGCTTTTATTTTGTAACTAAAAGAGACATCGAACAACAGAGTTGGCCTGGCGGCACTGAGAGGATTCACAGAGTTGCAATATGCTTGAGAAAGGTAGCTTTGCAAGAGGATCTAGTTAGATTGGATCACTGGGCCAATGCCAATAGAATGAGTTTCAACAAGGGCAAGTGCAAGGTCCTGCACTTGGGCCACAACAACCCCCTGCAGCGCTACAGGCTGGGGGCAGAGTGGCTGGAGCTGCCTGGAGGAAAGAGACCTGGGGGTTCTAGTTGACAAAGGGCTGAATATGAGCCGGCCGTGTGCCCAGGGGGGCAAGAAAGCCAATGGCATCCTGGCTTGTATCAAAAATAGTGTGACCAGCAGAAGTAGGGAGGTGATTGTGCCCCTGTACTCAGCACTGGGGAGGCCACAGAAATTTCTCTTCAGATTTCTGCTTGGGTCTAGCCTTACATCTGCCTTTATTCCTGTGGAGAACAGCAATACTTCCATGGTGTTTCACAGTGACACCATTAAACTCAGTAATCCCTCTTCAAGACCTAAGGGTGGAAGGTCCTGGACAAAAAAGCTTTTATTTTGTAACTAAAAGAGACATCGAACAACAGAGTTGGCCTGGCGGCACTGAGAGGATTCACAGAGTTGCAATATGCTTGAGAAAGGTAGCTTTGCAAGAGGATCTAGTTAGATTGGATCACTGGGCCAATGCCAATAGAATGAGTTTCAACAAGGGCAAGTGCAAGGTCCTGCACTTGGGCCACAACAACCCCCTGCAGCGCTACAGGCTGGGGGCAGAGTGGCTGGAGCTGCCTGGAGGAAAGAGACCTGGGGGTTCTAGTTGACAAAGGGCTGAATATGAGCCGGCCGTGTGCCCAGGGGGGCAAGAAAGCCAATGGCATCCTGGCTTGTATCAAAAATAGTGTGACCAGCAGAAGTAGGGAGGTGATTGTGCCCCTGTACTCAGCACTGGGGAGGCCACACCTCGAGTGTTGTGTCCAGTTTTGGGCACCTCAATCCAAGAGAGATCTGGAGGTGCTGGAGCGAGTGCAGAGGAGGGCAACGGAGCTGGTGAGGGGGCTGGAAAACAAATCGTATGAGGAGCGGCTGAGGGAGTTGGGGCTGTTTAGTGTGAGGAAGAGGAGGCTGAGGGGAGACCTCATCACTCTCTACAACTACTTGAAAGGACACTGTAGAGAGGTTGGTGCTGGTCTCTTCTCACAGGTAATTAGTGACAGAACGAGAGGGAACGGCTTCAAGCTCCAACAGGGGAGGTTTAGATTGAACATTAGGAAGGAATTTTTCACCCAAAGAGTGGTCGGGCATTGGAACAGGCTGCCCAGGGAGGGGGTGGAGTCCCCATCCCTGGCTGTGTTTAAGGGCCGTTTAGATGCAGTGCTGAGGGACATGGTGTAGGGGAGGACTTTGTAGAGTAGGGGAGATGGTTGGACTCGATGATCCCAAGGGTCTCTTCCAACCTGAACGATTCTATGATTCTATGATTCTAAGGTAAATCTCAGGCTGAGGGGCTGCAGCTGATCTCAGGACCCTCACCCCAGTGGCCACGGCTGCCTTGGTGCTGCACAGCTCCACGCGGTGTTCCTCAAGTGAGGTCTCTTGGCTCTTGTTTCCCTGAGGTGCCTTTCCTCATGGAAGCTAAAGATCATTAAGATCCTCCAGAGGACAACCATGAGATCCAGCCAACATTCCTCCCTTCAATAAATAGTTTCTAGCATAGGCGGCTCTGTGAATTATTGCAGAGCACATAATAGTCCCTGTATTTGCCTACACAATCACTGCACTCCCCAGATCTAACTCATTACTGTGCTTAGCGAAGCGCTTTGAACTGCCTCAAGCATGAAAAGCCCCGTATAAGAACAAATTTTAGTCTCATAAAAAGGTATTAAGGCAAGTTAGAGGCACTATTGACGCACATGATATGTTATAATTGGCAAATGTTCACAAAGGCAAAATCCAGCTTTGTGCATCAGGCTGGAGGGTACCGGTGTGCGCCGCGCGTCTGTCTGGGGGCATCCTCTCCTCCGCCGGCAGCGCTCCCAGCTCCCGCAGCCAGACTGGCTGTTTGAGAGCTCCCACTTCCTAAACACAGCCCTTTTGTTCAGGACGAGCAGCAGGACTCTGCCTGACCTGGTTTGAAAGGGAGACAGGAACCCCACGGGCTCGTATCTGGCGTTATCCAGCCGCACCTCAGGCTTTCCTCGCCCCTCGTTCCCCCACAGTCATTTTGGTCGCCCCCGAGGACCCCAGGTGCATCCCTGCACCTCGCCTGGAGCATGTGCCACCCTTCCACGGCTTGGCTGTGACCTGCAGCACCCTCTGTTGTTCCCTCCCTGGAGTTCACCCAGCTCGCCCTCCCCACCAGGACTCTTCCTCTCCCATGTCATTGACTGCCTTCCGAAAAGCCATCAGGGCACCACCACCATCCCAGTCTGTCCTGCTCTGGACTCTCACTCCCTGCTCACTAGTCTTGCCAAATTTGTTTATTTCCAAAATATTACCTGTGACACGGAGGGACTCTGCAGGTATAGAATTGAGACAGCTGAAGTCCTCTTCCTAGGAATAGCTAGAACTCAAACAGCTTCTGGTAACCCACAAATCCTGGAAAACAAATAATATTTGGAAGTGTCAGGTCATTCATCCACAGGAAAGTCTTTATATCAGCACTGTGCTTACGGATGTTATCAGAGAAGCCAGGAATGTTCTTGGGGTTGGAGGGTAATAGGCAGAACATTTTTTGCAGTCCCACACAAAAATGTTGGGTTGTCCCAAGCCAATGTCATGTCCCAGAGGGACATCCGAGTCAGCACTTTCACTGCTGTAATTACCAGCAACCAACATAAATACATTAAATATTAATGGGAATATTGAGAAATAACAAAAACTAATAGAGAAACCACAATGGTATGTGCTCGCAGGCATGTGTGTGTCCATGTGTGGGCAGTCTGTCCTCTGGGCTTCTGTGACCATCCAAGGTCCTGGCTCGCGAGCTATGTTCAGTCCCTGAAACTTTCCACTGTCTTGAATTCCTCTGCACAAAAGAAGCCTCATGGCCCATTTTAAAGCTCTAACAGTTCCATTTTGGCTAGAAAGCACACTGCTTTCCAGGAGCTTTGAGCTCAGTTTCTCTTCTGGACTAAAAGGTATTTGGAAAGCTGCGGAGATTGTGTGTTCTTTCTGGGAGAGAAAACTGCGTCCCCCCTGTACCCATAAACCTTCCTTCAAGACTTGTGCTCCATCGTGCAGCCTTGAGTCTTAAAGACAAGAGCAGCTGATGGAAGGAGTGAGCAGAAACCTCCAAAAACCTGAAGTTCTCAAGGCTTCCTATGCTATGGGGCTGAGGAAGGGGGAAGGCACGTGCATTGGCACCTTCTCCAAAGGCTGCACCCCGAGATTCCCAGTCCCTTCTTATTCCAGCTCTCAGGAACTCGGTGCAGTCAGAGCCTCAGGACTTAACTCACAATGAACCTGCACATAAATGATCCACATGTAAGGAGAGGTCACCAGGACCTGGAAGAGCCCGACCAGGAGATGCAACACTGGGCCACGTCGAGGGTGAACGTTTCTAGAGAGCAGATCTAGCACGTGCAGCATCTCTGTGGTCGAGCACACGGGGAATGTTGCTCGAGAGCTTTCACTTCAAGTGTGTGCTGAAAGGTTTTTTATATTTCTCAGTCTGGTCAAATTCTCTTGGCTGCCCTCCACTCTGCTCACAAAGTGCTGCTGGAAAAGGAGGAAACTCTTATTTGCATGCACAAAGATTGGGAGTTTTCTTCCTCCACACAATGATGAATTGTTCAATGGAAGTTTAATCCAACAGGTCCGGTGTGGCCTGGTCACCACCACTTTAGCTGAGCGTGAATCCAGTGGAGTAAGCAGGAAGAGACCCAGACTGGTGATGTGCTCCCAGAGCTTCAGTTCTAGATCTTTCCCCATGGGAGAAATGGAGATCCAACGCTGTTCCACCAAAGCTGCTCATCCAATTACTGTAGCACTTTGAAAACGCGATATGGATCAGTCTTAACACCTCGAGCTTCTCCCAGAACAGAACGTGAGTCTGCAGACACTGCACTTTTGGGAAGCATCAAGAATCACACAGAGTAACTTTGTGGCTTTTCTTAGTTGGTTCTGACTTGCTTTTGACTACTTGCCTGCTCACTATTAACACCCCATGGTGCAGTTGTGTTTGACATCCCTATAACAAACCCTGATTTATACGGCCTCACACAGTTCCTCCTCCTTTGTGTGGCCTTGAGAACAGCAGAACAGGCGTAATAAAATGGAACCCATTTAAATCAGTCACCACCAAAGGAGCAGACATCTTCAAAGAGCGTTATCCTTCTGAATCAAACTTCACCCTTTCTGAATAATCATGTTTTTTTAATGAAATGTAGCTTTTGGGGTTTGGCAGAAGCGGACAAATACTTACTCCAGTGACTAGACTTAAAAGAAAAAGGTGAACGTATTCCTGAGATTCACAGAGCTACAGAATAAAAGAGATAAAAGATGCAGAGAAAAATCAAATGTGCGACATTCATCCCTCGATCATTCAATTACAAGTATCTGAGCACCTGTCCAGTGAAAGGAACCCAAGCTCCCTATTTTATGGCACGTCTCTGAACACCTCTGATGCTTTTCCACGTGGCGATGCAGCAGATGAGCCCAGCTCCATTCTACACCCACTGCCCACAGAAAATCTGCAAACCACCCTTCCTGGTGCTCACTAATTTAGGATCCGTGTCATGATATGCTCTGCCTCCAAAGCGTGTCCACCACGTAACCTGCTGCTCTAGGAACGTGGTTGTCCTTTGGTACGACGTGAAGGCTGCGATCATGGGCTGCACGTGCCAAACAGGCAGGGCTGGGTGGGGAAAGAGAAGGGAGGCTGCAGTTCAGAAACAGTAGTACCTATTTTTGTCTCCTGAAGCCAAGCTTTGCTGATCCAGCTCTGTTGGGATGATCCAACACGTATCACTCGAGATGTTACCAATCCCAGGCAGTCACAACGGTTTGGGGCGCTGGGCTCCAGCATCCTGGGAGAGGGAAGATAAGCAGCAATTTTTCTGAAGCCTGTGGCAGGAACAAACTGTGTCACGGTAACTGTTATTTTATGATTAATATTCAGATGAGGTTATTTCTCAGTCTGAACATATCACCACAACACAGGAGATACGTACCTGGCCCGTCCCATTCTGACAGCCCTCCACCAGAACGCAGCAGGATGTCCCCCCCGGCTCCAAAACATCCTACATGGAAACCTCTGGTGAAGCCTGTTGTAGGACCAAATGCCCTCTTGCCCACTGCTGCCTGGGACACACAGAATATAGTCTAAGTGGAGGGAATTTACATCCCAACTCTGTTTTCTGTAACTACTGGGGGTTGTGCAGTATTTTCACAGCACCCCAAGAGCTATAGTCCCTACTTCCCCCAGAGATCTGGCCCACAAGCAGCTTGGCACACATCTGCTTTGCAGGAAGAGCTCTCTGCTCGCTTGTAACCTGCAGGCAGTGTCACAGAGGGTTAGCTCAGCCCTCCCTCGACAGCCCCCACTGACAGCTTACTCACCTACCAGCATCTTCAGACAGCACAAGCCAAAGTCTCTGCACGCATCGCCTGCTGTAGGAACCCTCAGGAGGTGGCACCATCCTCTTTGTGGCTTTGCAGGGCAGCCCTGGGAAGGAGACAGTCCAAATCCTCTCTTGAAACTCAACCCTCAACATGGGCACCTCTCTTCATGGCTGAAGGTGCTCCTCCACAGCCACACCACCTTCTCCCTCCTGCCACCAGCAGCCCGTTCCTCCCCTGGCACCATGCCCTCAGCCCTGCTCGTACGACTGTTGGCAGAGCGGTGAGACAAATCCAGCCAGGAAACTTGGGCACATGGCCCCACAGCTATCTGCGGGGATGGGGAAGACAAGGCTGGGGTGAGGAAGAGCAGCTCACCTTGGCACTGCTGCCAGGAGAAGCTGCTGCACAACACGGCCCAGCTTGGCCACCTCTGATGCCGGAGCCACACCAGCACCCTTCGGGAAAGCAGGGAACCAAAGCACAGCCTCGTAGCTCTTCAACCCACCAACCTGCAGGAATAGTAGGAAAAATATTAGGAAAAACCAGGGAGGTGGTTGAGGCCCCATCCCTGGAGGTGTTCAAAAGACAGGTTGATGTAGTGCTGGGAGGTATGGTTTAGTGATGGTGATGCTTCTTGTTTGTTGTGCGGGTGTCTATTTTTGTCAGTTAGGTTGACAGTTGGACAAGATGATCTTTAAGGTCCCTTCCAATCTAGAAGATTCTGTGATTCTGTAATATCTTCTCCTTCTTCAGCTGCTCTTCTGCATTAGGTTATCCTGCAGTAGACTGTGCTGTTGAGTAATTAGAAACATATACATGACAGTTTTGCAAAAGGCTGGAGCATTTATCTTTAGAAATGTAGCAGTGAAGGAAAATGACACCATTTAGACACTGTAGAAAGAAAGGGTTCACTATATTTAAAAAAAAAGTTGCATTTTCGATCAAGGAACAAACCAGTACAAATAAACGCAACCCCATTTTGCAGCCATTTGACTCTTTTGATCTTTTTCTCCCCCGACCATCCAAAGAACATGAACGCCTGACTCCTTTAAGTGGGATCTATCGCTGAGAGGGAATTTGCGGCCGCCTGTCGATGTGTAAGGACGGAGAGAGTCCAAACCCGAGTCCAAACCCAAGTTAATGGTGCCCGATGTTGGCCGGGGGCTGGCAGAGCTCCCCTCCTCCCAGGACCAGCCCCATCCTCGGTCACTGCCAGCCCCACAGCCTGCCAGCGCGGCGGCTCCCTTCTTCTAAACAAAGGTTGGCTGAAGGAGCACGGCATCGTTTTATTTCATCACGGTGGAGTTTTGGTATCCACAGGAAAAAAAAATAATAAAATGCTGGAACCAGAGTGTATTTTCATGATCGGTGACTACAGAGTGGTATAAAATGTCTGCACTGCTTCTTTCCATTCCAGCCTGCGCCTTTGAAGTCATGGTAACAGCTTTTGGATTCGAATCCTCTGATGAGACTCCTTGATTTATTAGGTAAAACATCTGGAAAAAATGAAGACTTGTGGCAGTGTAAATCCTCCAGGAGGAGCGGAGAGAGGTTTCATCTGAACAGGACTCCTGTCAAAAAAAGCAAGGAAACCTGAGCCCCGGCGACTGGCTTTCGGGTTGCTGGGAGGCTGAAACGCTGCGGCTCGGAACGGGCCTCTTCGGGTTTCACCCACTGGCCCAGAGAGGGGCAGGCAGAGCTGGTGGAGGCTGTGAGGGATGAGGGACGTACAGCAGCCAACAGCCCTCGGAGCCGGGCCCGCGCCGCCGCGCGCTCCATGATTGTCGTACGCTCCAGCCTCGGTAGCAATTCTGCCCTTGACATTAATAAGGCAGCTCCTGTTATAAATCACGGCGCGCCAGGGGAGCGGTGGGAAATGTAAAATACCTGCCTCTCTCCCACAAAGAAAAAGGCAAGACAGGGAAATACAGATGGGCCAGAAATACATAGTTCAGGTCACCTGCACCGCTGCGCCGCAACGAAGAGGGGTGTCGGGGTGACTCTTCTGGTCCCCAAATACAACAGTCTGTGTGAGTAAATGAACGTTGGCTTCGGCAGGAGGAGAGAATTACCAGCCTTGGATGGTGCTGATTTGAAAGGAGTAAAAGCTGCACAGGTAACAAACAAGGGAACAAGCACTTTATGAAGCATATTTTTCTTTCCTTTGGAATCAGCCCTGAAGTGAGGTGAAAATAAAGAGGGAGGGAAGGGAGCAGCAGGAGCAGCTTGCTGTGCTTTGGAGTTACTGCTAATGGCTGCTCCTACGGAACGTGTGTGCGGGGGCACACGTGTGTGAGCGTGTACGTGTGCATCTGTGCCTATCTCTGTAAGAGATTGGTTAGATGAGGGCAAAGCCAGAAATCACAGAGGGACTTGACTCAGAATTATTTACTCTCTCTGCCTCCTCCATGCACCAACCCATGTTCCAAATTTCAGAGCTCATGCTTTTTTCCCCAGAGAGCCATCTTTTGACAGTTATTTTCCCATCTAAATCCCCCTTCCAGCAATTTGAATAGCACAGTTCAAACACTAGCCCAGAGTGCCAATGTTCTTTTTGGAGGGGGGGGTAGGACCAGCAGAGGAGGGGGAGTTTGGGGAGTATTTTTTTAATCAGATAAATTATTGCTGGGAAACCAGCCACTTCTCTCCATTCAATTTATACTCTATGGGGAATCCATCTAATACCCCTTCTCTTAGTGTGAAGCAGGACTGGCGAGATGCTGTATCAAACCAGGGAGGAAGGCAAAAGATGGGATGGAGTGCAGGGAATGAGCAAACAAGGGGAGGAAGGGGCTACGCAGGAGCCGGCGGAGAAGAAGAAACGCCAGAGACACCCGTAGGCACCTCTTCAGACAAGGGAGGGAAGGAGAAAATGGCAAATTGGAGCAGGCTGAAGGCTGTGTGGGGCGGGCTGGGGGTGGGATGGGATGGCTCTGAGCTGTGGGGCTGAGGGAAGGAGCTTTTTACCTGTGGGGAGGTGGGGCAGCTCGGCGGGAATGCAGCTTCCCATCAGGCACCGCTTGAGTTTGCAAAACAAGTTTAGTGATTCCCCACCGCTTCCCAGTGGAACTGGGAACGTGCCAGTTCACCTCACCATTGTAACTGGAACTGGTTAATGCTTTGCTGGCTGGCTGAGAGGAGCGGAGGACTGGGAAGGGAGACAGCTTCCAGCACATGGGGTTTCAGAGCGTGTCTGGGAAGCGTGCCCTGCTGCCTGGGCACACCTTCTGCCCTCAGCTGTACCACCAGGACACCTGAGGCCCAGCCCAGACAGGGCTCCCCTGTGCCGAGGTGCCAGACCTACACCCAGCCAGAGTCGGGCCGCGTCCCAAGGAGCTCCCAGTCTAACCAGAGAGGCAATTAGAGGTGGGGAGTGGAAACAGGTGCACAGAGAAGGGAAATGATTTTCCCCGAGTGAGTCAGTGTCCAAACCAAAGCCAGAACCCGCTGCCCCAGTCCAGGCCACAGCACTTGCTTCTCCTCCACGTGCTAACACCAATTGAGGCTTCCCACTCCAGCACGTCTCAGCCACCATAAAGGCATGTTGAGTTTTTAAAGAATCACAGGGTAATGGCACCTGAACGGGTGTCACAGCGCACGTTCCGGGCCTTTTATTCTTCTTTGTGATGAAGAATGAAAAGAATGAAAAGCTTCAGAGGGAGAGTTGGCAGTAAGCTCAGGAGAGAAGGAGACTTCCAAGGAAGATTTCCCAGATCCTGGGAGTGACTACACTACACAGAACGGTGGAAAATAAAGGAAATGGCTCAGCAGGAGGCAAAGGGGAACAAGTGGAAGAGTAACTCTGCTCTGGAAAACTGCAAGGAGACTATGACACACAAAGAGAAATAAGGCAAAAAACAAATTCAGATGTGTATAGTCTGCAGTTCAGGTACCTTCCTTCTGACAGCCCAACTGTCAGAGAGCTGCTGAGCACCCATTCTCAGGGAGTCGGGCCTTACGCAGAGTCCAGTTGTTTTTGGCCCAAAACAAACAAAAGAGTTTCTTTTAATTCAGAGCTCATTTCCATCTGCCATAACAGGCTACGGGCATTCGCCAGCCCCCCTGATTTTCTGTCTGAAGATCTCAGCTGTCTGAAGGTGTCGTTCCTGATACTACAGCTTCCTTTCCCAGGCAAAATTAACGCTTAAAGCAACACTAAACACATAATTAAAATCCCCTCCAGCCCACCTACCAAAGAAACTTATTTTCAGACTTCAATTAACCTCCGAGGTTATTACTTGGAATTACAGATCTCCCTGGAAATGCCAGAACTACCTGTGCCAAGATGAAGTGAGCCCACTTGTTCTGCAAGTGTCAGGTTGTGGGGATGGTCTGACCCTGCAGTGGATCCTGTCCAGCCGAGCCATTCTCCAGGAAAAAAAAATAGTAACTTTTTGGCAGTTTTCCCCCTTTCTAAGAAATAGAGAAGGTGTTATCTTTTTTTCCCCCTAATTTCTTTCTCATATTTTGAGTCCCCAGACATATGTACTTTATTAAAACACTGCCCATTTCAGAAGCTTTACCCAGGACTGGGTAAAGCTCTGGTGGTAGGTATACTCAAGCTGCTTTGTGCATTTAGTTGTCCCTAAATGTCTTTTTGGGAATCTGTTCCAGATTCTGATCATTTTCCATTAAGACTCCAGGACTCAGTAAGCTCTCCCCTCCCAGTCCCCAAGCAAAATAGAAACTGAAACTTGTCAACCCTAGATCAAGCACAAACCTCTCTAAAGTCCCAACCTGGAACCGTCTTTCATAGGTCTCTTTTTTTCCATGACTCTTGTGCTCCATGGGATCTGCAGGAGTCTCCCTGTCCGTGGAAAGAAAACACATGACATGCATCAGGACCTCTTCTTGACAAGAACAAAGTGGAGGGGCTGCTCTTTGCCAGCAGGTACACATTAAATTGCTGTTTAAGCCTCTCCAACATTTCTGGGGAGTCACCGGGCTGTGGGAGTTTTGGGCTGCTCCGTCCTTCCACACTGGTTATCATCTTTCATTCCTTTTACACCCGATACCATGTGGTTTATAGAAATCTCTCTGGGCTCAATAAACTATGGCAGTGAGCCCTCCTTATTCTGTTTTCTTTCTTTTCCTGCCCCTCTTCATTCATTTCCTGGCTCTAAAGCTAAGCAACCAAATCCCCTGGGCTCGCTGCCGAGCAAAGGACAGCTAGAAATGGCAGGTAAAAGGCTCCTGCCCAAGGATGAAGGAAAAGTGAAGAGGATTTCCCACCCCTCTTCCTGGGAATGACACCCACCTGCTTCCGCTCGCTTCACTCTTTGGTTCTGCTACACAGAGGGTAAGGAAAGGACCAGAAAAAACAGAATTTATACAGCCAGGGATCTGTGTCCCTTCAAGAAACAGTTCCCATTCTGCTTCTTGGGGGCAGCTAGATGGGCTCAGAGGTTTGTCAGCACCCGGCCCCGAGGCCCTGACAGTTTTTGTCAGCATCAGGCTTTTCTTCCCATCCCCTTGTGACCGTCCCCCTGGTGCACCTGCGGGAGCAGAGGCAGCAGGACACACAGCCCAGCTCCCCACGCCGCGCACGAGGCCCCTGTGCCCTGTTTCTCCTCACTGTCACTCCCCTAATGGAACACGTGCAGCAACAGGCTGATCCCCGAGAAGCAGAAGTGCCCGAGCTGGGTTATTAGGGAATTAGATCCCATAGATCATCTTCCCCTCCCCTGCCCTTCCTCGCAGCATTCCTGCTCGCTTCTACGTCCCGTGTGTGCTTGGCAGCTGGCTCCTGCTGCTTCTCCAAAGGGACACGTGGAGGAGATTCTTTCCAGCAGTGGGGACTCGACTTGGAGGTTTTTTCCCCCCGCTCTGTCCAGCTGCAAACCTTCAGGTAACTTGTGGGAATCCTGCTGTCAATTAAACTGCTCACAGCTCTGATTGACTGACAGTTTCAGGAGTAATTCCAGGGGAGGGAAGAATGACAGAAAAACAGGATACCTCTTTAGAAACCAAGACTAGGATGCTAGTGCAAAAGGGCTGCTGGAAATCTTGTTTTCATCACCCACAAACTCCCTGATGCTGGAAAACGTACCCCACTTTCTCCATGTGCTACAAGTTCTAACATGAACAGCTTCTGCCGGGAATAGCTGACTTTGCCGGAATCCGATAGTTGCTGTTCCTACGCTGTCCTCCCCTCCCCAGATTATCACATTTCAGCCCAGAAAATGAAAATGGCTCAGTGTTTACTAACCATTCTGCTCCTTTCCACTCCGCAAGGACCTCTGTGGGAGAGCCAGATCTCTGCTGTTTACAAGACCATCTGCTGCTGTTGCTTTTCTTCACCTGAAGTTAGAACGCGCTGTTCAGGATATCGCTCGCGGTTGTGTTGGGAACTGCAAAGAGCAGATGAGGATTTCAGGTGGTAAGCGAACAGCGTGAAGAGAAGAATACAAATCTGTTCTCATCTAAATAGCCCTAAAAATAATGTAAAAAAAAAGAACAAGATGAAAGAGGAAATTCCAACAAGCCAATGATGGTTTGAGCAACACAATCATTCCAAGGAGAGTTTTTCCCACCTTTTAATGAGAATTTGAACATTTAGAAGCAGAAGGGGAAAAGCACAAGCGCTCCAATGATTGCTTCCCTGAAATTGCACTGATCCCTCTGCTCTCTGGCATTTTAAAGTCTCTACAGGTAGAGCTACAAGACTCTACTTTGCCCAAACCTGTACTGCTGCCGTGAGCTGTTTAGTTGAGAGTTCTCCATGTAGTTTAACTAAAGGCCACATGTTTCCAGGAGGAAGGGGGGACCCTTGGGAGTCAGAAAGAGATCAGAAATGCCTGTCTGCCCCTAATGCCTTCGCTGGGGTGCCCAGAGATGAACCCCAAAGCCAGAGCTGCTGTCCTTAGGGCCTGAGCCTGCCAGCCTGGCTGCGGGAGGGACCAGAGGGGGCTCTCCAGAGCCTGATGCGTTTAAAGACTCTCTGCTCATCAGCTGAGCACGCTGTGCGACGTGCCTGGGCAGGCTCTGCAGACATCCACCAGCTCTGCAAGAGGCAGAGAGGCTGAGGAGCACGCTGTGCTCGCAGACGTGGGGGTGGATGGAGCGAATACCTGCGGGACGCGTGTCTTCCCTCGTGTCACAGCCGCCGTGTGCGTCTCAGCTGCTGGGCAGGGGCTGCCCTGCCATGTCCAGGGGTGCCTCGGGACCGGGGGGCTGTGGCAAACACTCTGCTCCCAGCTGCAGGCTTCCAGTCCGCAGCGTTGGGACCTGGCTTGGAAGAGAAAATAGAAATTGTTGCTGTTCCTGGCCCTTCTGAGCATTAGCAAAAATTAGAACCGCCCAAAGAGAGGAGCTGAACTGGCCCTGACCAGGAAAAAACGGTGACTGAAGAATCTTTGCTCCAGCCCTTGCTGCATTTTACACCTCAAGTTGCTAATTCAGGCCAGAACTGGCTAAAGGGGTGGTCTCTGCACTGTGACGTTGGCTTTTGGAGCCGTCCACAGAGACTCTTGCCGTTCTGCGTGGCCTTTTACAGAACAAACATCCACTGGAAGTTCACATTTATGCACAAAGACAAAGAAGGAGCAGTAAGTACTGGCAGGTGGAGAGGACACAAGGTCTCAGGGAGGAATAGCCCACGACAGGTTCCTTCTAACTGTCCCTCTGTACCGTGGGATCACAGTTTATTTGCTGCACCAGCTCAGGGCCAGAAATTTCACCAGTTTGGAGAGGAACACAGTGTCCCAGTTGGCAGCTTCCCAGCTCTGCCCTACCAGCTCAGCACAACTCGCACAGATCACGTCCCAAGTCTTGAGGCTGTTGAGAAAGGAGGCTCCAAAGCTCCCAGGAAGGGAGGAGCTTGCCCAGGCAGCCGCTCTGCTGGGACGGGCAACCTGCGGAGAACATTTCCTTGCCAACGCAACCCCAACATCCCTTCCCCAAACTTCTTTTTGAGGTTAACAGTAACTGAGCCCAGCGCAGAGGGAGACCTGAAGACATCAGACCTGCTTCAATGGCACCAAATCAAATGCTGGTCCAGCTTCCCATGGCTGACACCCTGCACCTCTGAGATCTGCAAGGGCTTCGTTCCCAAGCTCCAGCAGAGCTCAGCTCTTTGGTGGGCACTAAAGCAAACCCCTTGACTCACAAAGGCACTCACACTGGTGCTAGCAAGGTGCTGGGATGTTCTGAAACCCTCGTCTTTAGTGGGTGAGGGGAGAAAGACTGAAATTAGACTTTGCAAAAGTTCCTGTCTCGTTCACTCCAAAGGAATCTTCTCTTTCAGCCTAAGTGTTCCTTGGAATAGCCACGGATAACACCCAGGCAGAAAACGGTGCCTTTAGCAGCGCTGCAGCTCTCGGGGCCTGGATCAGGACCTCTGGAGCACACATGCTCTTCATTAATGCTAATCCAGGAGCAGAAATGATCCCAGAGCAAAACCTCCGAGAGGATTATAGTCCACAGACACTGCCTCAGCGAGCTGTGAGGATGCAGGGAGGGATCCAACCTGAACTTCCTCCAGAACACGCAGTGGGATCTGGTTGCTCTGGTTTGGACCCAGCTCTGGCAAGACGGGGAGCGGTTCCGTGGGGCACCGAGAGAGAGGAGCAGAGGGAAAGGAAAACAGTCCACTCCCTCTTCTCCCCCCCTCCAAAAAAAAAAGCAGCGTTTCACTTCTGGGGCTGTGAGTGCTGCACAATAAACTTCTCTCCCTCCCCTCACTCTGGGTTACATTGTTCGCTTTCCTGCAAATTGTTTCCACATTCTGTATAAATAACCCCAGTGCCAGCGAGGGGGAGGGGGAGAGCGCAGGGGCGCCCAGAGAAAGGGGTGGGAGGAAATCAAATGTCTTTGTTACTCTTGAAAAAGAAGGTGGAGGACGCAGAGGAGCCCTTTGGAGCTGGAGCCTTGGCAGACCCAGCAGAGAGTTGCCGTCGAGCTCGCGTTCAGACCTGGAGGAAGAAGAGTAAACAAGGGGGAGATTATATATAATTATAGACAATCATCTTGCCGGGGATAAACAGGAATCAAAAGCACGGAGGCAGTGAAGTCTGGCACGTCCCCAAGCAGAGAACAGAAGCCAGCCAGTGAGAGGCAATGTGGCTGGAAAGCGCTTCCCTTTGGGCTGTTTTCAGTTAGCTCAGGGGCTGGGTTTTTTTTCTTTTTTTTTCCCCTCTCTTTTTGGCTTGAGGCATTCCCCCATAAAGAGAGGAGCCCGTCCAATGGGAAACAGAAGCCAAACTGAAGTCAGCAGAATCCTTGTCTGCGACATTAATAGATTACCCTGTGAGAAACGTCAGAAACATTTGGAGAAGATACAGCCCGCTTAGGTCAGCAAAACCAACAACAACAGGAATTTCTGAACAAAAAAAAAAAAGAATGGCTTTGGAGATGCTCCGGGAGCTGTGCCTGTGTGTCCTGTGTGTCCCGGGGGCAGACTCCCTTCACAGGACACAGAGGGTGAGCTGTGGCTCCGGGTGCCAGGCGGGTCCTGCTGGCAGCTCCCGTGGATCCGGGGTGGGTGACAAAAAGGTGTCGGGGTCCCTCGGCCGCCTCACCTGCCCCCAGTGTACACGGTGCTGAGCCCATCTGGGAGAGCCACCCGTTTGGAGTATCTCCTCCATTTTGCTGCAAATCAGAGGAGAAAGGATGAGCCATCAGCCCGTGCCACGGGACGGCCCCGCGCTCCCTCCCGCCTCCGCACCCGCAGGGGGAATGAGGGGGAACCGGAGCGTGATGGGACCCTCCCTCCGCCACCTGCCCGCCTGGGGGGACCGTCGGGGGCCTCGCCAGGCGTGGGGACAGTGATTCCCCATCACCACCTGCCTGCCTTTGCTGGGGAGCAGCAGGGACGAGCAACGGGGGACCCAGCTTGTTCTGCCTCCCTTGGCAGACCAGCCACGGCTTCGCTTTTTGGAGATCCTGGGAGAGGGAAGGGAAAAAGGCTCCGTAGGCACCAGAGACTGGCTCTGGCCATAGTCAAACGAGCAAAGTGTGATGCTACAAGTGCTGCAGACAAGACCAGGGGTGCTGAGCCGCCTCCCTGAGTGCTTAACGGTGCCCTGCAAAGGGGCAAGGAGGGGGAAATGATGAAAAACAAAGCCAAGAAACACAACCGAAACAAAGGCATATGGCCCATAAGGATTGGTTTTTGTTTTTTAAAAGAAGGACTTGGGGGGATTTAAAAAAGAAAGAAACCTCATTCGTCCTTCCTTTCCTTTCCTTGGAAAGAAAAGAAGCCTCATTCGTCCTTCCTTTCCTTTCCTTGGAGGCTCTGGAGAGTTGGAGGGAAGGCGACATCGTGACGAACAAAGGACGGCAACCTCAGACGGTGACAGAAGGAGGATTGTTCAGCAAGGCAGTGTAAAAAGCTCTCTCCCAGGCACTATTTTAAATCCAAATAGCTTACAGCCCGCTGAATTCTTAAGCCATTTTCCTCATCTCTCAGCTGTTCTTCATTGAGGACGCAAGCAGATATTTCAAAGCAAAAAAAAAGCAGAGAGGAAAAATAACTACGTATAAGAAATAACCAAACCTGGGTTTAGAATCAGTGTAACAGCACAGGAAGCAGGACATGCTCACAGGCTCCGCTGCCTTCTCCCCTTCGGTACAGGTGCTCTCAATGGCCTTTCTCCTAAGGAAATAAAATGGATTTTTTAAGAGAAATGGCATTTGCTCTATGAGAACAGTGTCACAATGTGGTGAATGATATTACCTGGCTATCCGGGTATAGTATTTTGTGTATTTGCTATGAATTCATTGTCATGGGCATTTTTCCTCCAGGATTTCTTATGCTGACAGTCCTTCCCCAGTGGTGTGTACCTCTGCATGTGCATGTACACACACACGTAAGCCTAAGATCTCTTTACTGGCCATATAGAAACTGTTTGAGCACCACAGACAAGGTCACTCTAAGCATAAAACACGAGCCATGTTCCTCTGAAAACTGCTGGAAAGAGATCAGAAAGAGCGAGCAAAGGAAAAAAAAGACAGTAACAGGTTAAAAAAAATGCATTTGGGGTCCCAGTCTCATCTGCTATAAATTTGCATTGACTCTGTAAGGTAATATTTAAGCAATCTGCTCCCACGCCAAGTTACAGCAGCTACTTCCAAAGATCCCAGACATTCGTGTAGGGAACCAAGAATAAAAACAAGATAACAGAATGATATAAAAAATAAGCTGACCGTGCCCTTTAAACACGTGCCCATGTGCCACGCTGGACAGGAGCAGTGCCAGAAGCTTAGCAATATGGTGAGAGGGAAGAAGTGAGCCAGACTGACAGACCCAGACCGATCAGATCATACCCACCTCACTTTCTCTTTCATTTATCTGTGACCAAGAAGGGAGAAGGACACAGAGCATTTGTCCTGATGTTGTGTCAAAAACGAAATGAGGTTACTGGTCTCCTGCAAGCACAGATGAACATCAATCACAAAACCCTCATAAAGGCATGAAACGCAGTCCCTGGGTGTTATTAGAAAGCAAGAATTAAAAGTTTATCAGGATGGAAAGAGCAGATCCTCAAGGGAGAATGGATTTCATAAGCAATCAGCAAATCCTTCTCCAGGCACCTCAGTGTGACTTGCAAGGCAGTGAGAAAATCAAAAGAGCTACTACCTAAAGAGAATACAGCGAGTGTTCCCAGCAGGCAGCTTAGAAAAACCCCTCAGTGGGATAAAGTGTCAATCCTTTCTCGCCTCTTCCTGCTTTCCTGAAGCAAAGGGGGAAAAAGAAAGAAAAAAAAAAAAAGAAAAGAAAAGAAGAGTACGATGTTTGCATTACTGCTTATTTTTGCCTTGCAAAATGTATTTGTAAGTGCTGGAGGAAAGGTCTCCATTGGTTTATCAGGAAATCTCAGCCCTCGTGTGTGTTAGTTGGCAGTCTCGGCTTGGGACAGGCTGAAGACAGGAATATCAGCCCGACACATCAGTATGGAGGTGCATCCCCAGAGCTCTCTGGGGACCCAGGGCTGGAACAGCAGCTGCTGGAGGTCGGCAGAGCCAAAGCTCACTTCTGGTAAACCCATTTTGGATATTGGAACTTGGCCATGGGGAATGAAAACACGACCGAAGCATTTCTCTAATCCCAGTCCGCCTGGCTGCCGAAGCAACGCAAGTCCCACTTCTGGCAAACCCAACAAGGGAAGGGACACAGATTTCTCCCCCAGCTCCTTGCTGGTGGTGCTGGAAATCCTTGTATTCCCAGTGCTTGAGACCACTACCGTTTCCTAAAATGTCCAACTGCCTAAGCAACTGCATCTCTGAGAGAGGGAACTTCTCACAGGTCGGGTTAAGATCACTGGCTATAGAGGGAGACTCAGGAGCAGAGCTGCACCCATCCTTAGCTACACCCTTCACCACCAGGGACCCCTCCTGAAGTCGCCGTCTCCCTGCTCAGGTGCTCAGGAGGCAGATGGATAAAAATGCCACCAAGAAAAAGCGCTTCCCCCTTTCGCTGTTCTCCCCCCTCTGCTGTTGCTGTCAGCCCTTACACAGCCACTTTGGAAATCAGAATCTCCAGTGCTTATGAAATACCTGGTGGTGCTGAGGGGAAGGATGAGAGCAGCCTCCGGGCCAGGGCTGCCGGGCACAGGCACCTTGCAATATGCTGCCTGTAATGAATGCAGCAGGGGGAACGCTACATCTCCTTTAATGAAAAAAAAACCCCACCTGCTTCAAGCTTCTGAAGGGCTATTATAAGCTGTGGCACGATGAAACTCAAGACATAAACCTCCTTATATTTAATAATACATGTTATAGATTTTTCCTGCGGAGAAAGTTCAATGAACACCGGTTTTTGTTTAAATCTTTTGTTGCAAATATTGATTATTCATTGAAAATCTAAACCCTGAAGATTTGACCAAACGCTTTTACAAAAGTTCAGATTTCCGCACTGAAGCAGACATTTCCAAAAAGTAGCAACCATTTTGCTGTACAGTGACTGTTAGCAGAAAAGCAACTCTGAGGGTAAGTTTTTAATTGGCTCATACAAATGCGTATGCAAATGTCCATAACTGCGTTTCAGATGAAACGACTTACCCCCTGAAACAAAAACCCATCTACAATAGACGCTACAGAAAAGCAGCAAGCAAAAGTATTCTGATCTTAGCATATAATAAAAGCAGATTAATAAGGTCAATTTATCTGCCACATCGGGGTTCCCAAACTGTCCAAAACCAACCCTCCCAACAGCACACCTCCGGAGCTGTGACACCCGAGCCACGGCCGCGGAAGAGGTACCATTCCTGAGTTTGCTATTAAATTGCTGTCTCGATGAGAAGATAGGCCAGTTAATCTGATTCGAAGGGTGCATTTTTATAACTGATGCAACATGAAGGTGGTGTTGTTTAGAAGACGTATTTGTACATCACATTCTTTAAAATACCAGATCAGCTCCCGAACGCCGGCTGCAGTGCGTGTTTGATTGGCTTTTATTCCCCGAACTGGAGGGGGGCTGGGGAGAGAGGTGGAGCAGCCACCAGGAGAAGGGGATTGAAAGGCACACAAGCCAGAAGGAAGGCAAAGAGAGAGGAGGAAGATCAATTAACGACCCGATCCTGGTGAGAAAACAAGTACAAATGTGATCCCTAAAGTTAAGGGCGTTGGTTGGAGCGAGGAGGCGGATCGATAGCCGTTAGCCACGGCGCGGGCGGGGAGGCAGCACGGGGTGGCAGGAGCCCAGCGCCAGGTTACAGGGGACAGGGCGAAAAGTCCCCAGCTTACAATAAAGCAGCTTGAAGGTGACAGATTTCATTGTTGAAGGTGATAAAATTCCACGTGGCGCGCTGCAAAACAAGGGCTGGAGCTCAGCCCGCAGCAAGGGAGGCAGCGCCCCAGATGATGCGGTGGTGGTTCCTCCTCCTCTCCTCTCCCTGGGAACGGGGGGCGAAGGGTCCCGGTGCCCCAGGTAGGTGACAGGTTCCCTCTTGCCTGACACAGAGCAGGTGCAGCCGCCGCTTGTGAGCCAAACCTCAGGAGTTTTCCCCAGAAAAATGGAAGCATGATGGTGCTGGCCCAGAGCGGCGTCTCCCCGGGGTGGGCACCGCAGCACCACACACAGCAGCAAAAAGGGCTGTCACCGACAGAGAGAGCCCAGCAGCAGGCAGGGTCCTGCAGGATAGGTGTCAAACTCAGCTAACCAGGTCATGCACCTTCTCCTCTTCCTCCTTCGTTTAACTGCTCTCCCCAACTGGCTAAGAAGATCTCTGATGAGGGCACACCAGCACGGGCCCATCAGGAACAAGGTGTCCTAAAAATGTCAGGCTTTGTTTTCCAAAATATACCCCCCCCGATGCTGTTACACCTGCAGCAAAAGCCTGACCTTCGCTGCCTTTTAACTCATGCCCACTTTGCTGCAAACGCTTTGTGGACGGGCTCAGTAAGGACAGGTGTCATCCTTTTTTTGGTCTAACAGAGGATCAGTGTGGTCTGGACACTGCCCCCAGTCAGGCTGCTTGAAATGCAGGGAAGATTCGGCAGCAGGGATGTGAGAGCATCAGGAAAATCAAAGCCTGAGACTAAACTAGCAATTAGACCAGCCTTGGAATATATTTAAGTCAAATCAATCCGCACAAGAATTGCAGTCACGGTGCGCTTCGTGCCCACGCTTCTCCCTCCCTCCTTCCCCTCGTCTCCTGCAACCCGGGGCTGAGATCCAGCCTCACTGTCTGCCTCATCAGAATATGCACAAAGTGTAGCGACAACGCCTCTCCGAAGATGCTTTATCAGTTTTGCAAAGTCCCAGTTCACCCTCCTCGTGCGGATCTATTTACATATTGATGTATTTATTCGACTCTCTCCACCAGGCATGCCCCATGAGATTAAACCGTTTTATTTACAAAGACATTGGGGTTGCAGCTCCTAACAATTAAGTCAGCCAAGATATAACTCTGCATGTGCTTTCAGATTGATGTGTGAACAGACAAATCGGCCTTGTCAGCAATTCCAGAGCAGCTGGGGTTGGGGGGGAGGACTGGTGAAACCCCATCTATATAAACCAGTCAATAGCTGCTGTAACTGGGAAAAATGCATTGGGGTGGTGGGAGGCACAAATATGCAGAAGGGAAAGATAACGAGCCAGCGGAAGGAGTGATGGATAAAACTTGGAGGAGAAACTTTGCCAACAGGGCTCACCTCAAAAGATTGGTGCTTCAGGGTAGTTTGTGCTTCGTGGGGACTTGCAGGCTCTCGGGGGAGGCACCTGCTCCATCTCGCCCCCCAAAATCACCTGTTAGAAAAGAGCCCCCCACAGAGGGCTCGCTGGGAAGAAAACGGGGGTGGGAGGAGAAGAGAGAAACAGAGAAATACCTTCTGAGATGAAAGTCAGCAAAAGGTGATTACAGAGAGACAAACTGCTGCCCTGCCACTGATGGGATGCTCCAGGAATGGTACTGAAGCCCTTTCCACAGAGAGCTTCTCCCTGGGCAGATCCCAGGGGAACACCTCTCGTCCTTCTCTCCCTCAGCATCTGATCAGGCTGCATCCCTCAGCGTCCTCCTTCTCCGTACCCTCTCCCTTCTCATCCACACCTGGGGGTATCTCTGAGGAGGAAACGTCGAGGTGACATCGGTAGGTTGATGTCATTCACAGTGGGCCAGGCTGTGGATTGAGGGGGGGACACATCGTTATGGGGGAACAACACTCTTGGTTCTGCTTAGAGCCCCACAGTGCCTGCCCTGCTCCCCAACAGCCATCACACCTAAACCCCGGCGCTCGCCCACCCCATCCTTAGCAGGGGGTCTCAATTAAAACAGCTTTCCTCCAAGCGTGTGGCTGTCCTACAGGTGGACACCTCTCTAGCACGTGTTCCTGCTGGTTTCTCTGCCTCCCACCGGATGAAGGATGTCCATCAGAGCATTTTCAGGCCACCTTCAACACAAGAGCTGAAGTCACCTGCCTATTTAGACCGGTATAAATCTGGCACGCAATTGCCTCTCCCTGACAGCAATCTCAGCCGGTGCCAGCGTTCTTCTTAGCATCTCTGACATTTCAAAATTATATTTAGAGACCTGGATGGCAATTTAATTTTGAAGTTTTCTACCGAACACTGTTATATAAATATTCTGCACCACCTGCCTATGGGTCTATTGGTGCATAGCAAGCCTGCGCCGTTGCCGTTAATTAAACGGGCAGAGGCAGCCCAAGGAAGGAGCACTAAATAGCAGTCTAACCATCTTAAAAGTCGGCACTTGTCTCCTTATTAATTCTCACCCTGATCTTTTGCATAGCACTATCGCCAGGCTAATTAATCACAGGTGCAAGCTCAAGCATTAATTGCAACAATGAATCATTTTTTTTTTCCCGTCTGTGCCTGGCCATTTCTAGCCTATAGGAATGCAGCTACTCCCGTTACTTTTATAATTATTATAAATATAGAGCCAGCAACATGCACTACATTTTGTAGGCATTAAAAAAGACATGGTATTTGGCCCGAAGCGTTAACAATCTGGTGCATATTCAGGGGAGTGATGAATGCGTCTCACTGACAAGTCTGAAAATGTGTTCCCTGAATCATTTTAATTCAGGAAACTTTACGAAGGTGCTAGGAAAAGCACAGGTTTTAGGAATCCAGTGTCTGCAGCCCTCCTGCTCACCGTGCTTCGGCAGGTCTTGGCCACTCATGGCTTGTGGGGACTTCCAAGGCACACGGCAAGCTCCAGGTCTCTGCCCAGCCCATCTCTTCCCCACTGGAAAATCATACAGGACAGGAAGACAGAGTGCAGATGGTTGAGGGGGGGAAGCTCTGTAACCTCTGTGCCTCCAGGCTCAGTTTGAGGGAGATGGATGGAAAGCCTCGATGTCTGGATGAAAAGATGGGATGTGGGGAACCCTGGAGGGTGAAGCACATGGTGGGGACTCCCGGTGGGGTGGACACCTGTGGGTCTGACCTCGGCGAAGGGGCCGTGGGCTCCAGGGGCTCACAGGACAGATGGTCACTCTTCAGGACAGGCTGGAGGCAGGACCAGGGTGGGGGACGACACCACCATAGCCTTTGCTATCCTCACCAGTGCTGGGTGAGCCCGTACCTCCTCCTGGCACGGGGATGGAAACGCGCCTGATGTGCTGCACAAGGGGTAAGAAAAACTGCCGACGCTGCCGTTGGGAGAGATTAGATTATAAATGTATTAAATGACTAAGGTGCATTAGGCGTCCTTCCCAGGCCAAAGCACCTGCATACACAATGCCTGGCTGTGATGTGGGGTTGACAGGTTCAGGCAAATGGTTCAGGACTCGTTTTCAGTGTCAGGCTGGCAGAGCGCACTCCAGGCACGGGCTTTTGATGCTGGGGAAGACAAAGCCAAAGCCAGGAAAACAGAGCTTTTTAGGGAGAAAACAAAAGCTAAAATTTGAACAGCTATAAAAACACAATTTGTCATCCCAACTACAGTAAATATTTCCTTTCTTTGCTTGCACAGAGGCTGGGGAGAAGAAGAAGTGGCTGAAGGAGAGCTCAAGGTGAGCGCCCGTTATTTACTGCTGCTGATGAATAAGCAAACCCCCACGTTGCGTTTTCCTCCCGGGCAGCAAAAGCTCCGGACTGCTTAACAGTCTGGTTAGTTGTTATTTTTTCCCCTCCTGGGGTGCATTTTACATGCTGTTCCGGTGAAACGCAGCACCACTATTAATTGTTCACAAACACATAAAACACACGGAATTCTCCTTCGCCACCACCGCAATCCCAGCAGATCAAATGGGAGAGAGCTGGAAAAGTCACCCACCAAGACAGAGGTTGGAAGGATAATGCAAAAAAAGATCCAAGAGGATTTGTGTATATTTATATTTTTTTTAAAAATATAATATACTTCTCTCTGCCTGTTTAAAAGCATAGACTTGTTTGAACTTCCTAGGGAAGTCGGGAGCATTGAAGAGAAATTGGCAGGCTCCGATCTGGCTGCTTTTCCTTATTATGAGAAAATACACTCTCGTCTCCTTGTCTAAGGGTATGAATTCTTCATCTCATATTGTGTTTGCACAGAAGCGTGAAATGTATCCCGAACGTTGGTCTCCATCCCCCCTTCCCAATGCCAGAACAAGGCGGGCAGTGAGACATGCAATGAGAACGGGGAGGCCACAGAAGCGGGGGAGCGAGCGAGCGGCCGCTTCTCTTCCAAGGCCTGGGCTCCAGCACCGCATTCACCAGATCCACGGGATTTCAAAGGAAAACCCAAGGCACGTATTTCCTCCGAAATGATGCTGGGGGGCCCTGGTCTGTGTGCTGCTGTCCCTGTGGGAAGCCCCCGCCTCCCTTTCCGTGGATGTTTCCCCTGCTGCCCCTAAATCACCAAATCATGGGGAGACCCGGGGGAAGGGAATTAAATGGCAGGGATCACGCTGCCGTGTGCCGCTCACCTTATTTGTTTTAAATGACCATGAAAGCAAAGGGGGAAGAAAACACACAAGTGGAAACTTAATTGAGCTGCTGAAATGTCTTTAAAGGAGCATTTTGGGCTGGATTATGATGCCTCAGCTCCCACTGGTGGCATTTCCTCACATGAGTGGGCACCTGATCGGGCAGCTCGGCCGGGCCCCTTTCTCTAAACAATCTGTATCTCTTGCTTGGAGCCACCTGTATCTCTTGGACTTGGAGCTGAGGACAACCAAGGATACCCAGCTCTGGGGACTTGCCAAGATGTTTGAGAATACCAGACTGCAGGCACCTCAACCAGGGGAGGTTCAGGCTGGATATTAGGAAAAATTTTTTCACTGAAAGGGTTCTCAGGCATTGGAATGGGCTGCCCAGGGAGGTGGTTGAGGCCCCATCCCTGGAGGTGTTCAAAAGACGGGTTGATGTAGTGCTGGGAGGTATGGTTTAGTGATGGTGCTCCTTGTTTGTTGTGTGGGTGACTATTTTTGACGGTTGGACAAGATGATCTTTAAGGTCCCTTCCAACCTAGAAGATTCTGTGATTCTGTGATTCTGAGTGGGCACCTGATCGGGCAGCTCGGCCGGGCCCCTTTCTCTAAACAATCTGTATCTCTTGCTTGGAGCCACCTGTATCTCTTGGACTTGGAGCTGAGGACAACCACGGATACCCAGCTCTGGGTCCTTGCCAAGGTGTTTGAGAAGATTGCGTGCTTCAAAAACGGCCAGGAAGGGACCAGACTGCAGGCACCCCAACATCATTGAGGGCTACAAGGCCTTGTGGCCTTGTTTCACAGCAGGGTTTGCCTCCACCAAGACCAAGAGGTCTGTTGGCCCAGCTGGGCTCCAGCACCAGGAGGGAAAAGCTGTAGCCCCATCTGCCCCTGCTGCCTTCTCCCCTGGAAGCTCCACTTCTTGGGCAGGAGGAAGGGGGAACCTGCTCTGCTCTATTCATGGGCACCAAAGCGCAAAGGCCCCTCTGGCACGAGGTGACAAAACCAGTCGCAGCCACAAAGCGGCCCTGGTTAGATGCTGTCTCAGGGTGGAGGTGTGGGAAGAGCCTGTAGACGGGCCACAAAGCCCAAGGAGGACGTGTGGGCAGAAGAGCACGTAACAGAGCCGGGCAGCAGCCAGACTGGGAGAGGAGAGCGACCGGAGGGACAAGAGTGCCACAGGAACAAGAGGGAACTTCCCAGTGGAGTTGGTCAGCAAAAAAAGACCAAAACGTGGGGAGAAGATTCTGGCAGAGAAGAGGGAAGAAGTGCCCTGACCGCCGGGCTGGAGCTTGAACCTAGGAGACAGGGAGCAAAGGAAACCCAAGCTGTGGAAAGGCAGACACCACAACTCGGCACAAGCCAAGCCACCCACACCTGAGGGAGAAGGCAGGGCGGGAGCCTGTGGGAAAAGGGGGCTCAAGAGATCTGCTGTGGGAGCCCAGGGATCTGCCAGGGAACCTGCTGGACCTGCTGGAGCAGCTGCACACGGGCTAATCTCCCAACAGAACAGAACTTGCCTCTGGCTTGTTACACCTGAATTTGATTATGTGTCCAATACGCACCGAAGTAAAGAAAAACGTGTTCCTCTCTAGTCAATCTTTTGCTAGACCTTAAAATCCTCTAACCTTCAAGAAACTCAACCAAAAACCCTTCAGGAAGGGTCCCTGCGCTTTTATGCATAGGTTCTGAGTCCTGTGCACATCCAAACAAAGGCATGTGGGAGGAGGGAGAGCTGAGCCCCTCTGCCCTGCCGTGTGTGTCCCCCTTACACTGGCCAGGCACTGCACAGGGTCCACAGCTCCTTCCTCAGCCATTTGCCCCGTCCAGAGCTCTATCCCAGCACTGGGAAGGGATGCAGTCCCCAACTGTCAGCCCCACAGGACCCAGAAGGAGTTTTCAGGACACCCTGTCTCCAGCTCAGCCCCTCCTGCCCTTACCCTCCATACCCTAGACGTCTTCCCTAGTGCCTTCCAACCACAGCTGAAGATTTCCACCACCTCTTCAAGGGGATGTCCAAGGCATCCTTGGTCTTTGCTACAGTTTCAGTCACCTGCCATGACACCTCAGACCTGGTTTTTTCCCCATTAATTAGTGCTTCTACAGGACAACAGCTAAGTGGCACGAGTAAGGGAGCTGGTGGAAGCTCACTCAGGGAGGGATATAAACATTTAACTCTCCATGTGGACAGGAACGGGAGGGTGCGTATGGACAAAACCATCAGCTTTAACGTTCCTGGACATGTCAGCCAGCCCAAGTAGGAAGAACTGGCTAGAAATGAGCCCTGAGATTCAGTGTCCTTCATTTTTAAAGGAAGAAACCAAACCAGCACATGTTCTCCAGCCTCTGCCACTGTTTGCAGGACCCCTTGAGATGGGCCGACTTCCCCAGCACTGGTACCTCCTGTAGGTCTGCCAGGACCTGGAGCCCTGGGAGAGCTTCCACATCCACACACCCCAGGGGAGCTCCCATGACCCTGGTGCTCTGAAATGCAGGCAGGTAGTGAGGGTGAGGAGGAGGCACACACCCTACTTCAGCTGGGAAGATAATTAAAAGGCCAGTCAGGGATGGGAGAGGGGATGGAGACCTTCCTCAGCACCTCGTGCTCCACTGGGTCTCACTAGGTCAGCACTTTCTGGGAATTGCTGCATTCCCAGATGTTGATTGGGCATCTGACAGGAGATGAATAAAGCCCATAAAGTTCTTATTTCTGGCTATAAAAAATAATAATGAAAAGCAGACAGAGATGGGGGATAGGCTGCCCTGAGCTTTCCCAGGCTGCACGGAGCTGAATGGAGAAGGAGCCACCTTCAGTTGCCTTCCCTTCTCATTTTCTGCTGCCTGTATGCCATGCACAATAGGCCTGAAATGGAGCAGCTGGATGATATTTGTGTACAGTCAGAAGTATTCCTCAATGCCTGTCAAAGGGACTCTCTTCTATTTATTTTGCATGACCTTTTCCTGCTGGCAGTGCCAGAGCTCCCCAGCCATAACCCTCCTCCAGAGCCTCTTGTGCTGAGCCAACCCCACCCTGAGTCCAGGACTCGGGACCCGGGGGTCTGCAAACCAGAGCTGCTCAGAAGTCACCACGAAGGCCAGGTCACCTTCTTTTAATAATGACTACTCTGACTCCAGCTCTGCAAGGGACAACTCCTGTTACCATGTCAAAGGCTGCCCTGCTTCCTCGTACCTCTCTCCCCAGAGGTACAAAGACGCCTGTGCTTCCAGGTCCTCTGTAGCTAAAGAACAAGTTCTGAATATCAACAGTTTCTTTCGGGCTCTGCTGTATCAGCCTGGGGGTATTTGGCTGGGGCCCCTGAGCAGTTCTGAGATTTTAAGATGCATCTCTGGATAGAGATTTGCTACACAGCTGCTGCCAGAAGAGCTGCCTTTGTCCCTCCCTGCAACAGTGACTCCTCTCTCTCAGGAAGCTCTGCAAAAGGTGCAGATCTTACCACGCCACCACCTCCCAAAGCCAGGGGATGGCTAGATTCAGAGGGTGAAGGGGATGTTTATAAACAATTTCGAGGGTTTGCGACCCTCACAACCTGGGATCTAAATGAGCTCCTGAGCTGCACCCATGAGAAGTCCTCAACAACCCACAAAACTTGAGGGAGGGCAAAGGTGTCTCTGCCCCATCGGTGCCTTCCCCGTCCAGAGCTGATACAGAGCCTGGGACTCCCTTCGTTTCGGCACCAGCCTGAGCATCACAGAGCAGGTCACACACTGCTGCGCTGGGAACACGAGCTCCTGAGCTGCATCCATGAGAGGTCCTCAACAACCCACAAAACTCAAGGGAGGGCACCCCATCGGTGCCTTCCCTGTCCAGAGCTGATACAGAGCCTGGGACTCCCTTCGTTTCGGCACCAGCCTGAGCATCACAGAGCAGGTCACACACCACTGTGCTGGGAACAACAGCACGTACCCAGGGACACCTCGTCTGGCTCCGGATGAGCTCCCAGATCCAGCTCTCTCCATGGCAATCAATCAGAGCAGTCCTGTTCCAGGCTGAAATCCAGGTTGGAAACTGAAAAGAAACAGTCAGATGTGTATTAACACTGTTTTATGAGGTGGGCACCACCACAAGGAGGATGTCCAGCCTGGCTGTCACTTCCTCTCCACGTGGTGGCATGAAGCAACGTTGCATTATTGTGGTGAGCTTCCAGCCAGAAGCCAACTCCTAGACATCTCATAAAGCCAGAACAGAAGAAGCTCTTCTGGAACAATAAAGCCTTCAGCCCAGAAACTGCCGCAATCTGCATGGACAAACCTTCTGCTAGACCTCTGAAGGCCAAAGAGTTAATTACTGATCTACAAACCAGCAAGTTGCCTGGATACCACAGGGTACGCTCTGGTTACACTTGTGCAAACAGTCTGGCACCAGGCAGTGACGCACACACCTATGCATTGAACTCTTCTATTTTCCCAAGCCTCAACCTCAGTTGCCGGCGTAATGGACTGGGAATATACATTTAAGGTGGGAAGCATTTCTGGAAACTGGCTATTCTTCAAAGGCATATTTACTTCATGTTCCAATAGCCACAATTCAATAAATGTACAGCAACGTTACACTGGGTTAAAACATCTGGGACAAAGCAAGAATGAAACTCCCATTACCATTTTATTCAATATTTTTATCAATGATGCTATAAAAAATCCTTGTTGTGGCAAAGTTTGAAGATTGGTGGCAGGGACACAACAAGCAGGATGGGACCATCAATACGCAGCCACCCAAAATGACTGAGGGTTGGGCACACTCCAGCAACTCAATAAATGTACAGCACCATTACACTGGGTAAAAACACCGGGGACAAAACAAGAGTGAAACTCCTGCTACCGTTTTATTCAATATTTTTATCAATGACCTAAATGACGCTATAAAAAATCCTTGTTGTGGCAAAGTTTGAAGATTGGTGGCAGGGACACAACAAGCAGGATGGGACCATCAATACGCAGCCACCCAAAATGACTGAGGGTTGGGCACACTCCAGCAAAACCCGATTTAAGAAGTCGAACACAAGGTAAGACATCTGAAACCAGAAATGCAGGTTACAGGACACTGCCTCGGAAAGGAGTTGCTTTGAAAAGGACTTGGAAGACACGGCAGAGATCTCCTGTAGCCCAAAAGCTGCCATAAAGGGCCTCCTCTGATCCTCAGCGTTGAGAAAGGGAGACCCCGGCAGGAAGAATTCCTTCTCATATGCGGCACAGAGACCATCTGCTGGAAAGCCACGTCCAGCCATGTTCCTCCCATCATGGGGAAAGAGAAAATACAGAAGTGACTCAGGAAAAGCCAAAAAATGACCCTCAGACCCTGAGTCCAGCTTCTGATGAGCCCAACAACATGACTGAGACGGGATCTGATTACTGCTACCGGCACTAATTATGGGGGAAGACAATTGTGAGAGAGGGCTCTCGGGTACCACGATGCCCCTTCCAAGACAACTGCCAAAGCTGGCAGTTAGAAATTTAACCTTGAAATACAAGATAACACAAACAGCAGCGAAGGCCGCTCCGGAGAAGCTTGCCAGAGAGTGAGGTGAAATTACGAGAGTAGCTGCTTTTCAGAAGGTTCTCTTTAACTCAGCTTCTGGGAAGACACGCTGTGGGGAGCTGGACTACACGTGGCTGGGGGAAGCCCTAGGTTACCAGACTGGAGTCTCGTTCTTGCACAAACTGTTCAGAGCAGGCGTTCCTTTGTATCTGAAGGAAGGGAGAAAGCATTGTGGAAAGGCTCAGGCAGCCAAAAAGCCTTTTCCTAGCTGCCTCCTACTCTGCCCTGTGCTCAGGGGGATACTTCCACTGCTTAAGCTTCACGTACTGTAAGTTATACGACTGTCTCTTCCCAAATTAAGCAAACACAGATTCCCTCCTGCTGAGCTGAAAATCTCGGTATCAGTTTCTCCAGTCCTCACCAAATCCTCACCAGTCTGGCTCTGGAGAAAATGCATAAAGAACCCCTGTCTGCTCCTAGTTCCAGCTGGGGAGCCGTGCGGATATCAGCGAGGTTTCAGGGGGTAGCAGAGCAGAAACCAGCTCAGCATGCTCATCTTCTCAAGCTAAGTCTGTCCTTCTGTTTCCACAGATTAGCTCTTTGCCTGCATTCCCCCTTGCGCGGCGGTGCCAGCCTGGCCACAGCGACAGCGAGCAGCGAGCAGCGGGAGGCCCCGCTCCATCCAACACCAACTCCCACATCTCTGACAGTGGCAGCTTTTGTTCTCCAGGCTCCTCTCTGATCTCTCCAGCCCCGTCGTACAGCGCTCTACATTCCTCCTTCAGGGCCCCCTCCCGAAGTCACTCCGAAAGATAGTATATTACTTTTCTATTTCAAATCCAGACCGGGCATCTGATCGAAAATAAAAAGGGATCACTCATCACGCTGATGCAGAAGGGTCCTTTTTCCAGCTCTCCCTTGGTTTTGCAAGCTGAACTCTCGGAAGTGTGTCCCGGTTTGAGGTAAAACCAGATCAATTTTGTGTTCTGTAACTTTGCATTTTAGTTAGGCCTTTTCTAACTCTCTGAAATTAATGGCATATTGTGGAGAAAACTGTTCCTTCTCAGAGTGATCAGACCAATGTTTGTGCTACATGCCAGGGAATGGTATGTAGAGAGGCCCTTGCTTATACTTATTGCTATAACAACCAAGGGCAGCCAATTTTCGTTATTTGCCCCTTAGAGGGTCGGAAACGGAAAAAACGTAGAGGGGTCACATCTGTGGGGAGGAACGGACAGGACAGGTGACCCAAACCTGACCAACAGGGGTATTCCATCCCATCTGCCCCATGCTCAGTATAAAAGCTGAGGGATCAAAAGGTCAACTCTCTTCCTGCAATGGCCGATGTCCGAAGAGGACCCTGTCTGTTCATCTGCCTTTGATCCCCATGTGTTCCTGACTCCAGAGCTGGAATCCTGCTCCTGTCCATCACCGAGTCCAGTCTGGGACTTCCCCAGTGCCTGGTGGTGATGGGACTGTCATCCTGGGAGCTTGATACAGTTTGGTATATATGTTGTATCTATTTCATTATTTTCTTCTCTTTTATTTTAATATTATTTTTTGATTAAAGTAGTTTAGTTAATTCTAAACTTTTTAATCTCCTTATCTCTTCCTCTCCTCTTTTGGGGGGGGGGAAGGGCCATCTGTTGGTTCGGTTGCGGTGATTTCGGCTGAAACCACGACAAAGTGAAAATTCATCTTTGGTTTGAATACCCAGGGAACACATAGACCTGGGCAGTGTGATACAGGGAGTGCATTTTCTAGATTAAAACGTGGATAAACCAATAAAGCTAATCTTAACTGTGCATCTTCCTGCCAAACAGAGGCTGGAAACTCGTGTCACAGCTAGTGGGTGACCTACACTTCTCACTGCCTCACACAGCACACCCTCTCTGGGCTCCTCAGTGGGACCCAGGCAACTTTCCCACTCAGAGACTGGATCTGGGGTGGAGAACCAGAGGCAAGTTTTCTCAGCAGATTCGAAGTCTGTCCAGACAGTGCCATCCCTTCCCTCCAGGGGAACAGCAACGCTAATCACGAAACAACCAACTTCCTGATTGCAAAGGATTGCTTCCCTGGAACAAAAGCATTTCAGAGTGAACACGTTATAAAAACACTAGAACAGGCTGTGCATGTTCAGATTAACTTTCATTAGCGATTGCCGGGAGCGAGAGGCTGGTCTGACCAGCTTCCTGCAGACTCTTCTACAGCTGGATTGGTGTTTGGTTCATTTTGGAGCAGGAGAGCCCTTTTGAGGTGACTCTCCCGACCTTCCTCACTGCATGTAGGTCCATGCTGCAGAACTGGATTCCTTTCAGACAAAACTAAACGACAAGATGAGCTCCAGAGAGCTACACAACATGTCCCCAGCTGCTATTGAATGTTCTAGACTAGAACTAGACTAGAACTAGACTACTCCTACACAACATGTCCCCAGCTGCTATAGACTAGAACTAGACTAGAACTAGACTACTGGAAAGAGTCCAGCGAAGGGCAACAAAGATGATTCAAGGATCGGAGCATCTCCCTTATGAGGAGAGACTGAGAGAGCTGGGACTCTTTAGTCTGGAGAAGAGAAGGCTGAGGGGAGACCTTATCAACGCCTACAAGTATCTCAAGGGAGGGTTGAAGGAGGAGGGAGCCAGACTCTTTTCAGTGGTTCCCAGTGAGAGGACGAGGGGCAACGGGCACAAGTTGGAACAGAAGAGGTTCCACTCAAATATGAGGAGAAACTTCTTCACGGTGAGGGTGACAGAGCCCTGGAAGAGGCTGCCCAGGGAGGGTGTGGAGTCCCCTTCTTTGGAGATTTTCAAGCCCCGCCTGGATGCTCCTGAGTAACATGCTCTGACAAGCTCTAGGCAATCCTGCTTCAGCAGGGGAGTTGGACTAGATGATCTCTATGGTCCCTTCCAACTCTAAAATTCAGTGAAATTCAGTGAAATTCCAAGCCACAGGGCCAGATCAGACCTATCCCAAGCAAATCCCCCAAAATGCATAGAGCAGACCAGCCCCAAACGTTTCACCCCCGAGATCTGCTCCTCCCACACTTTGCTGGTGCAAGGTGTAACCACCAGGAAACCTCTTTCTGCACCTGCTTAAAACTTTTGCCCATTCCACTCTCTTCTCATTTAGCTAGACAAGATTTCCCTTAGGAGGAGACAGAAGGTGGCATGTTTGGAGCTAGCAGCTTACCCTGCTGTCATGTCAGCGCAGCCTTCAGAGGTCTTCTCCCTGGAAGCACAGCTGCCCTAGCAAACCCTGGGGCTTCTCTAACTCACTGGCAGGCTCTGAAGAAAAAAAAAGCCAGGGCTGAGGTTCAGGTAAGGAACCATGTGTTCTCATGCTGGAGGCACTGAAGGAGACAGAAGGTCAGGTGAATTCCTGTAAAGAAATTACCAGCATCATTAAGGATTAATAATTATTTTTGCATCTGATAAGTTATTGTAGCACTAATTTCCTGCAACATTTTCTTAGCTGCTGTGGGCATGACCAAATTCTCTGCGAGCTCCCTTCTGGTCCGTTACCTGACATGCTCAGATGACAGCCTGTGTAAGACACGCTCATTCACTAGTTATTTTCCAATTAGCATGTAGCTGTGGTGTGATGAGTAATCTTGTACGGAGAGAGGGAATCTTAATTTGCCTGCCCTTAAAACAGGTTACTGTGATTTCTAATGAGTGTCAAACAATTGCAAATCCTAACCAACCAAAATAAAGGGTAACTGGCTAGTGTCAAGCCTAATTTCACTAAACAATGGTATCATTAAATTCTCCTGCTATGGTTGATTTTGAACTGACAGTAAGAATGAGTTATCCCCGTTACATGCAGAATTTCAGATTTCTTTCTTCGGTTCCATCTTTGATTTATTTAACGGATTTATTTTGTCGTTTACATTTTAATCTTTTTGCCCTTCTGTTAATGATAACAGCCATTTGAAGATTTGCACTTCAGTTTCTCAGTGGCGAAGAAATTAGGAGAGCGGCATCTGGGTGTGCTGCAAGTGGAACTGGCCACCTTTAAGTACCTTCACTAGCTCTGAAATACAGGTGTTCACCACCCCAAAAGACTGCTCCCATGGCAGAAATCTCCATCCACTAGCATCACTCTTCCCCCAGAAATGAATGCTGTCTCAGAAGCCGATTAAAGCCAGAGCCCCAAATAGAGGAAAAACCACTTTCCTGTTATTTCCACTCTTCCCTGACTCAGAATCTCATGCAACAAATCAGCCGCTGGTTATAGTACATCTTCCAAAGACTGAACATTTTTTTTCCAAGAGTGGCAGAAAGAGGAGTGGAAGAGCACAGTCATCACATCGCTCTTAAAAATGGGCAGAAGAGCTGCCGGGAAGCCTCGCGTGTTGCCCGCTGGCCAGCCTGGCTGTCTCACACCCCGGGAGCAGGAGCTGAGGAAGCACTTTTCCTGCCTGGACTGGCAAGACGTTGCCCAGACGTTGTGTCATGAAGAGCGCCTCAAACCAGAAACCCAGATGAAGGTGAAGTTTGGTAGCTCAGATGATAGGGGTGATAAGAGTAGTAGTTCCACAGCTAAACGCCGCCGGGACAGGGCTACACTGTGTGCTGTAACGGGACAGGAGCTACAAGTGGAGTGTCTGCTCCTGGTTAACTCTTCAGTGCGTGGACCCACGAGAACAAGGATGTTTGTTCCCATCCAGCTCCCCCTCCGTCAGCTGCAGGTGTCAGGAAGAGGGAAGTCCTTACTCAGAGACATAAATACAAGCTCTCTTAGACATAATTGCTACATCAGCTACAAACAGAATATATATTTTATATACTCTAATAAAACGTGGCCAAACAGAATACATAATACTTTATACACCATAATAAAACATGATCTTAAAGGTCCCTTCCAACCTAGACAGTCCTAGGATTCTATATGATTCGATGACCACCCCCAGTACTTTCTGCCAAACGCTGCTGTGCAAATGTTTACGGGGAGAGCATATAAAGGACTCAAAAAATTAAAACATGAAGGAAAAATATGTCTCTGTTCTCCTGCTGGGGATTCCTCTCACCCCCATACCTCCACCACACCTCACAACATAAACCTCCCCGTCCCCACTGGAAAGACTCCAGCTCATACCCCTAAAGGTGCTGTAACTGCCACGGAGCGTCTTGGTCCAGGGCAAGATCCTCTTGCTGTTCTGAGTCTCCTCACATAATTTAGTGAGATTATACTGCCAAAAAAGCAATTTGTCTGCAAAGAAAGACCAGTAAGTCTCGCCTGATCCCTTTAGCTCGTTATCGTCTGCAAATTTAATGATCCTACATGCTGCGGTGTTGCGTAAATCTTTAATAAAAATATGAAAGAGCCCCAGCAGAGGACCTGCTCCTCGGTCACCCCCTCACTGACACTCACCCTTAGCTCCAAGCCATGACTCGCTCTTTTTGCCAGTATTCTACCCTGTTCAATAATAGATTGTTTCAACCTACATTTAGGGAGTTTGGACTCTAATCCATCACGCAAAATTTTCTTAAAACCTTCTGGACAACCAGATAGATTTATGTTATCTAGACTGATAGTTATTTCATTAGCATAAGTGATCAAATTAGTCTGACATGATTTATCTGCAATATATCCGTGCTGACTCACTCCTGTTACAGTAAATATATTCTTTTTTTAAAAAAAACAACAGCTGCAAACTAACTGTAAATGAAGATTTCATAAGAACAACGTTCACCTTGAATCTTTGCCTCCTGTTGTTATTTCTCTTGTGATGGAGCGTACACATTTTTGCATCACTTTGGGAACGGGCCAGACTAAGAGAGAGCCAGAGGGTACAGGTACAAGTGGAAATACAGAAGAATTATCTCTTCAGAGAGCGATGCTCCAGTCAAGGACACTTGACTTGTTTCACAGAGAGACACAGCACAAGGAATTAAGCCTGGCACGAGACACTCAAAACAGGATTTCATCTGATCTGATTTTCTATGGACTTTGACGAAGCGCGTTGGGTAAGAGAGAGTGTGGAGCAAGAACAACAGCAAGTTCTACCTTGGTAGCTTCCAACCACAGACAGCATCACCACCTTCTCCATCTAATAAAGCTACTATGAAACCACAAAACAGAACTAAAAAAGCTATTACATGGCCAAACTATCCTCAATACAGGAAGAATTTCCTGACATGTAACCTAAAATTTTCCCACTGCAAGCCAAATCCATTACTTCTTGTCCTACCCCTGTCTGACTGGAGAGTCAGGTCCAATGAATCTGGTTTTGGAGACCAGGCAGAAAGACCTGTTGTTCTTCCCTCGGGGCAACTGAGATTTTTCTCTCGATCTGGAACCTCTACATCCCTTGCTCCACTGTCTAGTTGGGACCTGTAGACCAGATGGACATTACAATCATGTCGAGAGATCTTTCTCCAGTGAAAGAGGGCTCTGGGGGAATTTGCTGGCTTGGGGGTTTTGGTGGAAAGATCTCTTTGCAAGAACTGAGCTGAAGTACTGAAGACACTATATTCAGTCAAAACATGCGTCCTCTTCTTTTTCTTGACCAGTGTGTCCCAGCCCATGGCTGTCAGCTCTGTGCCTCCTCTGGGTACCTCCTCTCCCAAGCTGAAGAGAAGCTCGGGAGGCCTCCTCAATTATTCTGGGTATGCAAAATTGCTTCTTACAGTTTCTTTACCCACCACGCTGGCCTGTAGATAATAATGTCCTTCCATAGAGGTTTGCCCACTTCTGAATGCACTGGTCAAACCTCAAGGAGCAGCCAAAGCTGCTGGGAGTGCAAGATGCTGGCTGTACTGGGGTCCTGGGGTATAACTCCAGCTCTGCTACTGTCCTCTTGTGCCACCTTTAGGCATGTCATCTTCTGCTGAGAACAGGCTTCCCCTCCCACCTCCAGGCTGACTTGTATGTTTAAAGCCTGAACTCTTCAGAAAAGAGACAAACTCATGTATTTCCCAGGGTCATCTGTGCAAAGGTATCTAAATCTTCTTCCCAAGTAAAGGTAGGAACCATTCTTTCTGTTAAAGGAGAGAATTTTCTTTCATTTTGCTTTCATATTCAGTAGAGATTTTAAACATGGGATTTAAAGACTGCGGATGAGATGACTTGGGAACTTACCATATAACATCTGTAAGTTAATTTTTGTCTAGGGAAGCATTCTTGTACAGAAGGATGCTTACGGAAGTCCCCTCCGCACGTAGGCTTTTGGATAACCTCTCTGTTACCAACTGAATCATTAAATGGCATTTCTAATTTTGACTGTGTTCTTCAACACAGTGGAGCTAGATGCAACATCCTGCTGAGGGCAAAGCGAGTCAAGTAGTTATTAAATGGTCACAGCTAAAAGGTAGAACAAAGGTCCAGTCATTAAAGCACACACGGAAAACCAAACCTCTTCCACTATATAGTAATCCTCCGGAAGGCTTCCCCACTGGTTGGCACGGTAAAATAATATACCCAGAGATGATGGTTTTTTCCTCCTACATATACCCTCATTTTGTTTCATGGAGAAAAAAAAAACTTTTCAAGCTCTTAAGGGCTCGCCTATTGTGTTTAAAAAGAAATAAAGTTAACTGTGACAGTCAGTGAGGCGCTTCAAGCCCGCTGTGTTGGATCGGTTAATCAAGGGGATTAGATGTGTCCCTGGGGAAGAAGAGGTACCCGTGAGCCTTCATCCCTCACCAGCCAACGGGCTCAATTCGGCAAAATTCTCAAGTGTGTCACTAAAGCTCGAGCACACACTTAAGTGCCATTGACTTCAAAAGGTTTTAAGCATGTATTTAAAATCAAGTGGAGGCTTTGATAACTTGGGACCTCAGTCAAACCTAAGGACCTCTAGGAGATTGGGAGATCCTGCCTACCTTCAAGGTGTGTCTCCATGCGCAGGATACACATGCCACTCCATGAAAACCCCTTAATTAGCACATAATCTGTAGGCTACCAGGAAATCTCCATCTCTTCTCGATCAGCACCATCAAAGTCATGACAGAGCTGCAGAAGACATTCCCCTTTAATTACATGCGATCATTGAAGCTAACCACGTACTGTATAATTAGCGAGAAAAATGAATTATTTAAGTAACTCACATTTAACAAATAGTACTGCCATTCTGATGTATGTACGGTATTCAGTCACCACAAAAAGCCCTTCTTCTTATGCAGGAAAACAGATTTTCCTGTTTCTGAGATCTTGCAGATTCGAGAGTTTTTCCAGGGGTTTCAAACATTAAGTCCTACGTCCTCACACAGACTGGGGGGTCAGTAGTGACAAGGCAGCTTAGTGATCTCTGGAGCAGGTTCCTGGCTGGATTAAGCATATCTACATACTGCTGTGAATGGAGGAAAACAAACAAAAAAAAAATGGGGAAAATTATAGCTTTTCTCTCATTTGACAGAGGTCTTGCTTTTCCCTCTTTTTTCTCCTTGTACATTTTGATAGTTTTGTAGACAGGTAATTACACGTCTGATGCAAAGACCAACCCTCACAGTTCATGCTTCAGAGCTGACAGAATTGAGTTGCAATTTTATCACAGTAATCACAGATTCAGTAGAAATGCAGCTGGGATGCAGGTGGGGTGGAGGTGGAAGAAGAACTGGCTTGACCACCTAATGGAGGTTTTGGAACGGGAGATGTAGGATCAGCCATCGAGTTACGCTCTTACCTTTAGCTTCATCTTCTAAGCAAGGGAGAGAGAGACCTGAAGCAATGCAGAGCTCAGTCCTCACAGCACAGGATGGGGTTGGAAGACCAACCCACCTTGCTCTCAGCAGAACCACACCCAAGCCAGTGAATCTGCTCTCTCAGAAAGGCTAAATGAAGTGGAGTGAACCTAGACAGTCCTAAACTTGAGCCAGTTTTCTATCAGCCAACTCAGCATCTCAGCCCTGCAGTTCCTGGCCCTTCCATTCCAGCAGTGGTGGTGGCAGAGCCAGCCCAGTCTGTCCTCCCCGTCCAGACATGCCCTTCATTTCCCATGGAGCCCCACAGCTACGTTTGCTTGGACTGAAGAACTTAAACCAGCTAATGGCTGGTAGCCATGTGGGCTAGTGAGCACATGTCATGTGAGGAGGACAGGAGCGAGAAACATCACTCTGAATTTATGGTGTCATAGCCCAAACTTGCAGCTTTTTCTGAAGCATGGAGTGGGCTCTGCCGGGGAGAAGAGGAGAGGACACTGGTGTAGAAGGACCACATGGACATTTTCATAATCATTATCATTATCGTTAGCAGGTCTGGGCAGGACAGACTGAGAGCTACACTGCCAAAGGCTGCCAAGATCAGGTGTAAATGAACAGATGAGACAAGGAGAGAAATAAGCAGGAGTGAACAAACATTTGGTTTAACAGCAGCTTCCACTCACCCAGCACTGGACCTTGTCAAAGCATCTTTATCTCCTCACCAGCACTGCTCAGCAACGCGCCATCCATGGGCCTGTAGGGCAAACAAAAGTGTTTTTTTTTAAGAAAAAGGAAAGAGTGAAAACAGCTCTGGGGGTTTTCTGGTGACAGAATGGCCAGAAGAGAAAACTAATATTCCCTGCACAGAGCCCAGTGTCAAAGACTGGATAGGAAACGAGTCCTGAAATTACAATTTCCCCGTCTAACACACACTTGTACTTGAGGCCTTCAGTCATTATTATTTCGACAGGTTTGTGTCTGGAAGCACCCCTTTCTGATACATACACTCACAGAACAAACCAGACACGTACCCAAAACTGCTCCTAAGAAGCTCCCGCGCTGGAGACTCTCCCTCTCCAGCCCAGGAAATCTGCTCACACCATTACTATTCTTTCCCAGCGTATACAGTGAACATCTCTCATTGGACATTAAGTCCATTCTTGCCCTCCTGCTCCCTTGAGGATGGAAATAACAGATCTGTCCCTCCCTCTCTGCCAGAGCATCACCCGGTGTCCTCTAAGTTGCCTCTTGCTCAGACACTGCCAGTTCCTCCAGTATTTGTGATCGCTCAGGTGTCCCTCCTGCCTTCCCTCTGAGGCTTTGCTCACGCTGAACCAAGCAGGGACTGTTTTACATATCTCACAGGTGCAATTTCTATTTCATAGAGGGCGGGGGTAAGACATGAAAAGGTCTGGTCAATCAGAGATGTGGGCAAAACACACTCGAGCCCCTGCTCTAACCACAAGCCTCCGCTCACTTGAAGAGTGACAGTCCAAAACACACTTTGGGTGAGAAGATAAAAATCGGGAGCATCACAACTAAATTGGGATGCCCGGTCACTTTAGCCATATCACCACTGTGCTCTGCTGGTGCTATTGAACTCTCTCAAGCTGCCCTTTAGCAGCACGTCCCTTTCTAAAGCTGCCAGAGCCTTTGTTCTTCTGGAGAATAGCTGCCCGCTCGCGCACACAGAGGCAGGGAAAGGTTGGCCACTGCGTGTTGCATTGTACTGTCAGGCTAAATAGAAGCTGATGGGATAATAATTAATTGCAGTCTCCCCGTAATAAAAGACAAGACAAAGCAAGAGATATAAATAAAATCATCAAAGGAACACACAGAATAGGAGCTGTGTCTGCATTTTGTGGGCAATTTACAAGCCAAAGGAAGGTTGGGAACCCAAGGACTGAAAAGCAATAAAAATCTATGGAGCCCTCACAAAACCGTGACAGCGTCTCAGTGATCTGTCTGGTTACCAGGCAGAGGTATAAATTCCCTCAACACCTTTGTTGTTTAAGGAGCTGGAAAGGGAAGGGGAAAGAAAAAGGCTTGAAGTGGGGGTGACCCCCGGCTCACTCAGCCCCGAACAGCGGGGAGGTGCCCTCGGAGAGAACAGAGGAGACAGAAGGCACCAGCTCTGCTCCGAGGGCAACAGGCTGCCAGCAAGTGCCGTCAGCCTGAAAATAGGGTCTGGGGAGCTCCGGGCAGCCAGGAGTGCTTGAATGGAGACGTTTTTAACTCTCTTTGTAGCAGGACAGCTTTCCTTATGGCCTGCACAAAAGCAAACCCAAACTCTCTTTGTAGCAGGACAGCTCCTTTCCTTATGGCCTGCACAAAAGCAAACCCTGCCCTGACCCTATGACTTGCCAAACCCCAGCTGCCTGTCCCTGCTCTCCAGCTGTTGTCACCTTCCAGCTCAGGGGGAAGAAGCGGTGACAAGGCAGAGCCAGAGCCAAAAGGGCCCCCAGTGCCACCCCAGCCTCGTGGGCAGCTGCCATCTGGAGACATGGAGAACAGAGAGGGGAATCCTCCTCCTGCTCCTTCCCCGTGGGGCTGCGAGAGAGGAAAATGGATATAAAAGAGGATGGATATAGAATCATAGCATCATTGAGGTTGGAAGAGACCCTTGGGATCATCGAGTCCAACCATCTCCCCTACTCTCCAAAGTCCTCCCCTACACCATGTCCCTCAGCACTGCATCTAAACGGCCCTTAAACACAGCCAGGGATGGGGACTCCCCCCCCTCCCTGGGCAGCCTGTTCCAATGCCCGACCACTCTTTCGGTGAAAAATTCCTTCCTAATGTTCAATCTAAACCTCCCCTGTTGGAGCTTGAAGCCGTTCCCTCTCGTTCTATTGTTAATTACCTGTGAGAAGAGCCCAGCACCAACCTCTCTACAGTGTCCTTTCAAGTAGTTGTAGAGAGTGATGAGGTCTCCCCTCAGCCTCCTCTTCCTCACACTAAACAGCCCCAGCTCCCTCAGCCGCTCCTCATACGATTTGTTTTCCAGCCCCCTCACCAGCTTCGTTGCCCTCCTCTGCACTCGCTCCAGCACCTCCAGATCTCTCTTGGATTGAGGTGCCCAAAACTGGACACAATACTCCAGGTGTGGCCTCCCCAGTGCTGAGTACAGGGGCACACTCACCTCCCTACTTCTGCTGGTCACACTATTTCTAATATGAAGTGAGGGGAGAGAAAGATCCTGGACTCCTATTTAATGCCTAATTCTCAGTAAAGTCAGACAAACAGGTGCCTAAATACCCTCGCAGCAATAGCCAGTTACGTGACACATCCCTCTGCTCAGCAGCCTGCCCTGCTCCTCAGCTCAGGGAGCTCCTCATTCCACTCAACAGCAAGGGCAGAAAAAGTCAAAGAAAAAAACTCCTGGGTGTGCTGGTAAAAGAGAAAAGGATACAGCCCTCACAGACATCTGGGCCAAACTGCTGCTGGTACAGACCCCTTCTCCTGGGAAATGGGCCATTATACATTCAGCTCATCTCCATATTGCCATTAATCCCACCACTGAGATACAGAGAGTTCCTTCCTTCCTTCCCTGCAGTGAAGGGAGAGGCCAGGAGGAGAGGGAAAGCAATGAGGCAGAGGATGTCCCTGGGTGAAAGTTTTTCTTGTTAAGTGGGTACACAGCAGGGACAAGCTGGAAGCGCAGATCCCAGATCTCATCCCAATCCAGGATTTGTTTTGTTTTGTTTGGTTTTGTTTGTTTTTCTCCCTCTCTTTTTAAAATTCTCCTTTCAGAAATTTCTTCTCTGGTTAAAGGAAGCCAAGGTAAAGAAACAGCAACTAATTAAAACGAACTGCTGTTGGACAACATCCCCCCCAAAGGCAAACACAATCTTCTTCCCCCAAAGAACAAATAAGCCCTCAACTAAACAATAATTTCCTTAACGCAGCCGTTCCTTCCTTCCCTGCAGTGAAGGGAGAGGCCAGGAGGAGAGGGAAAGCAATGAGGCAGAGGATGTCCCTGGGTGAAAGTTTTTCTTGTTAAGTGGGTACACAGCAGGGACAAGCTGGAAGCGCAGATCCCAGATCTCATCCCAATCCAGGATTTGTTTTGTTTTGTTTGGTTTTGTTTGTTTTTCTCCCTCTCTTTTTAAAATTCTCCTTTCAGAAATTTCTTCTCTGGTTAAAGGAAGCCAAGGTAAAGAAACAGCAACTAATTAAAACGAACTGCTGTTGGACAACATCCCCCCCAAAGGCAAACACAATCTTCTTCCCCCAAAGAACAAATAAGCCCTCAACTAAACAATAATTTCCTTAACGCAGCCGCCAAAGGCTTTCTTCCACCCGTCACCTAAACAACGAACAAAGCAACAAGGAGAAAAAAGTCACCTCCTTTTCCCTTTGCCTGCCTCGCCAGAACTTTACTTCTCTGCGGCAGCGGTGCCCGTCGGGAAGGGGGTTGTCTCCTCCCCACCTGCAGCAAAATTCTCCTTTCAGAAATTTCTTCTCTGGTTAAAGGAAGCCAAGGTAAAGAAACAGCAACTAATTAAAACGAACTGCTGTTGGACAACATCCCCCCCAAAGGCAAACACAATCTTCTTCCCCCAAAGAACAAATAAGCCCTCAACTAAACAATAATTTCCTTAACGCAGCCGCCAAAGGCTTTCTTCCACCCGTCACCTAAACAACGAACAAAGCAACAAGGAGAAAAAAGTCACCTCCTTTTCCCTTTGCCTGCCTCGCCAGAACTTTACTTCTCTGCGGCAGCGGTGCCCGTCGGGAAGGGGGTTGTCTCCTCCCCACCTGCAGCTCACAGGGTGCTGCATTCCTGCAGGAGATGAGGACCTGGTGGATGGTCACCAGAGAGAACTGCCTTCCTGCAGGAGCTGAGGACCTGGTGGATGGTCACCAGAGAGAAGGGATCACCACACATCACTCTGCCTCGTGTCTCCTTGCAGACCGGGCTGGTCAGCAGGAAGAGGTGGTATGGCCCCAGTCAGCTCTGCAGGCAGCAGGGCTCACAGAATCACAGAATCACAGAATCTTCTAGGTTGGAAGGGACCTTAAAGATCATCTTGTCCAACCGTCAACCTGACTGACAAAAATAGACACCCACACAACAAACAAGGAGCATCATCACTAAACCAGACCTCCCAGCACTACATCAACCTGTCTTTTGAACACCTCCAGGGATGGGGCCTCCACCCCCTCCCTGGGCAGCCCATTCCAATGCCTGAGAACCCTTTCAGTGAAAAAATTTTTCCTAATATCCAGCCTGAACCTCCCCTGGTGCAACTTGAGGCCATTTCCTCTTGTCCTGTCGCCTGTGACTTGAGGAAAGAGACCGACCCCCACCTCTCTACACCCCCCTTTCGTGCCAGCTTTGGTCGGCCAGGAGGGCTACAACTTGGGAATTTGCTTCTGTGCAAGCAGTGGAACCACTGCTGGGCTGGGTGGCTTTAGGGACAGAGTCTTGGATCTAAAAGCAAGAGTCATGGATCTAAAAGCAAGAGTCATGGATCTAAAAGCAGGAGCCTGGGCTGCCTGAGCTAAGGCTCAGCTCCACCTTACCAGGCTTCAGCTGACCAGCTTTCTCTGTGGTCTGGCCATCAAGAGAGGAGAGCTGAGCACCACGCAGAGCCAGAGCAGCTCTTCCTGCCCAGCAGTAGGGATGATCCAAGGATCTGGAGGCGTGATGCTCAGAGCAAGCTCAGCAGTGCCACATCCCCAAAAGCAAACACAGTCTTCTTCCCCGAAAGAATAAATAAGCCCTCAACTAAACAATAACTTCCTTAG